ACAACATATCATAATTTTGCAGCACGCGTGTTTACCACCTTCATCTCCTCGTATTGTAGAAATCGAGACAGAACAGGAAATGTTTTATTCAATATATATATATCGGGAATCGAGCATCTTTCTGCTATTCAAGCATAAATGCAGACGAAATTGTTTTCAATAATTCATGAACGAGTTTCTATTTGAATTACGAAAAGTTGAAGCTAAATATATTTAGATATATTCGGTGTTTCTGTTCTATGTATTTCCATGTACAGGCAATGTCATTGTTAAATGATATGGGATTAGGAACTTTTTCACGCGTCAACGTACAAGTCTGTTTAAAAGTTTGATCGTGTGTGGATATTTTAACTCTTTTAAAATTTTATTGCTTTGTTTTGTGACTACGTACCGTTCAATATATGTCCTTTGCGTATACTGCTTTTCATAATACATAATATTCCAGTTGGCCAATATCAACCAAATTTCACACCATGTCGAAGGATATGCATGTGACTATTAACCTGGACTAGAGTGATTGAAGATAAACTCGGATATCCTAAGTTTTTTCAATTAGAATTCTTTTTGATATGAAATATCATCCCAATTACTGGGCACAAGAATCCTTTATGGTTACTTTACCATAAATTATCCTCAACTATTTTTGTTCTATCATTGACCATGCATCTGCGATGCTTCAGTTGATCTAGGCACATGTGGCTCAGGCTTGCCCTAGTATAATGAGGCAGCGTCAATTTAACATAATTTGCGAATTGAAGTTGAATTGCCTCCATTCGATGGAAAATTTGATTGAAAACTTTCGTTTTATTTCGATTTTACACTTCAAGTTGAAAATTTATTTTGCTATATTACCAATTTCAAAAATTGCTTTTTCGTGGAATCTGTGACAGTGAGGAACGAAGTGTAAAATGTGAATCGTAAAGTTATGCAAACCGTAGATGATAGATGTCGAAAATACTCCAATACAATTGGTTTGTCTAGGTCTTCTCTGCCTTATATGAGGAAATAACTCTAGTAATGCGACGCCAATAATGATAACAAAAATTATTTTATGCAGATTATTAATTTGCCATTACAAGAAAGCGTGTGAGAATATATATTTTATTATTGAAGATGAGGAAAGTTGTTATTTCATTGATTGATAGATATGACCAATGCAATCGAGATAAAACACGTTAGCTTACCGTTTTCAAGTGTAACTCATCAAATGAAAAGTGACCTCTGCAAAAACCTCGAACTTACAAAGATAAATTAATTTTAATTTGGATGGCTGAAGATGAGATATGAAGTACACACGATGGACTATTGTGCGTTATGAGGTGAATAGATCGCAATATGTATATATAAATCCACTTAAGCAATACTGACCAATAAGTCGGGAAAAAACATTGCACGAAATTGTTAAAGATTTTTAAAATAAATCAGCTGAAGTTCGCTTGGTATGAACGAGATCGGTCATTCTCTTGTAACAAACCACTCAGTTGAAAATTTTATAACTAGAAATTAGCAATCTGAAAAATCAGTATACGTTGGACTCAGACTCATTAAACTTTAAAGGTGTAAATATAACGCATGTGCACAAATTCCACAAGAAAATCAATCTACCACCATGGTGGCATGTTTGCATATTACAATGTCATGTACGTGCTATGATCTTCAGTAGACAACAAATCCCCTTTTCTGCAACTATTTATATATTAGTTAAAATACTTTTCTTCAGGTCGCAATGAAGTTGCATACCATTTACTTAGAAGTTCTCTGGAATAAACACGTGTTACGGAAATAGGTAATATTTATACGAGAGAGAGAGCCTATTTTAATATGACGATGTATAGAAGCGTGAAAAAACACAATTTTTTTCCATTAAGATGCCTAGATCTCAGTTGTTATGTAAGAAATTACGTTTTTGCGGAAGGATATGAATGATATAAATCGGGGATTTTTTTCACTTATGTTATGTCGGTGATAAATTAGTTTAGGCACGTTGAATTGAGTATTGTTTATATGCGTGCAACTTAATAATTTGGTTTATTATTACAACTTTCAGTAAATGAAATGAATTATACCTGATTTGGAACAAGTCGTACGTACGTAGCTTCATCACTGATTTTTGAAATGGCATTTTCGCATTGCCGCATGAAGATTATGTTTTAATTATTCACACTCGCAATTGCCTATCGCATAAGTGGGATGTATTGGGGAATAAGGTCGGGCCTAATCAATCAAAAGTATTGCTATGATATAATTGTGATACATCACGTTCAGGTTGCCCTTACGTATATGCCCTTATATTGTCGGTTATTTCTAGGCAGAAATATTGGTTTATATGTATGCAAAGAATTGTCGTAAAAAATTTATTTGTGCATGTACATGTATAGTTACCTTAATTGGATCGATCGCCAGATCGATTCTATCCCCGTGCGGGCCAATTCGTATAGAAGACGAAAATTCGTGAATTGATATCGATCGTTCCGTCCATTCGTCAAATCGGAAATACAATGCCACTTCCGCTGGCGACCACAGAAATATGAAACCTATCTTACACTTTTATACCAAAGGTTGTTGTTTACACTATAGGAGCGACCATCTTTCTATATTATGGTTTTTAGAAAGTTGAACTTTTTTATTAATTAAGATGACAATTAATGTTTCAACGCATAATTTCAGCGCATTGAAGAAAAGGGCAGTTTATTTTCTTTGAGATTGTTTGAAGTTGGTAAGTGCGTTAAATTTTTTTGTTGGAGTTAGAAAGGAGGGGAATTTTGTGATTATTCCACATGATTTTTTAAGCTAGTTCAACTCAATACAAATGTTATTTTTGAGAAAGTTGCATGTATAACTATACACTGAAAGATGAATGATTTTCTCATTTTTACAATATTATCCTTGCAATCATTTTTTGGTTGCATTGAAAACAAGCATAAAATTTTGATTTATGACAATATGGGAGGTTTCGGGTTGTGAGAAAATTACGAACTACTTTAAATTGGTTTTTTTTTTAAGATAAATTTGACATCGAGTAATAGCGTTGTAGCGTTACCAGTATGAATAGTTCAACATGATTATTTCCAAATGAAGTTTAAGAAAAATGTTCAGCAAGGTCTTGTTGAAGTAGTTAACCTATTCTAGAAGCGGCATTTAAATTAAATTAATATCGAGGAGAAAATTCATAAGAAAAGCAATGCAAAGTTTACACCAGGTATTCAGGTAATGGTCAATATATATATGCTATGTCTATGGTTTAAGAATATGTTGTCATACGTACGATTTGGAGATCCTACTAACTAGTAAGCGTTAAAATATATTCCTGGTAGAAGATAAGTATATAAAAGTTCAATATTTTGGAATTTTTCTGGTGCCTAGCTGGTCACAATTACTACTGGCCTTGATAGATACAATGTGATATGCGCGTCAGAAGAGTTTTTATCTTTATTTAATTGTTGTACCAATGCACCGAAACATCCGCTCTGAAACCTTCTGTACCATATGATATCGCTAGTTAATACAATATATTTTATGATTCACAGAAATTTTCCGGTAAATTTTTGACGACCAATTTATCTACTGTAAAATTCAATTATTTCAAAAGTCAATTATTAATGCGTAACACATACATACGTGGTTAACCGGTGATTAGGCTGGTATGCATAATTCATACTTTACCATTATATATGATGTATTGAAAAAAATACGATTATAACATGTAAAGATATGCACTGTATCATATCAGCTTTCGGCACTTCAACGGTCGCCATTAATTTTACTCAAAGTTTGTCTCTTCACTTATGAGCTACTGTGCTGACCTTGCTTTAAAAAATAAAATGAAAAATTCCAATGCCTGTGTGCTTCCTCTTCTTTGTTATATTTTTGTTTTGTAGTATAAAGTGAATTTTTATTCGGTTAGTTCGTGATCAAATGTCCTGCCTGTCAGCAGGCATAACTGCGATTCGTAATGCATCATCCCTGCAAGATCAAGTGTAGCAAATCGATCGACCGGTAATTTTCCCGTAATCATGTTTTTGAATAACATTACCCCGTAAAGATTTAAATATGCATGGGGTTCTAGTTGATTTGTCCCCAAAAAGTTTTTCGCGACAATTTTAGGATTACGGCTCGTGGGTTAAAAATATGGACCTGCAATGAACCGCGCATATATCGATCATCTCTTATTTAATATTTTATGACTGGATTGCAGTTGTCATAGGTGTTTGGACCAAACGTCGTGCTATTCTGTTGAAAATATGATTGACTATATATTTAATTAGCACCAAGTATTATCAAACAATTTTTTTGTAATTATAACATTTCCCTGGAAATCAAACTTACGTTTTTCTACCGTAATTCTCTTTCGAATACCAAATGAATATTAAATCAATTTATAATAAGTTTTACACAAATCAGAATATATTATTACAGATGATAAATTTAAAATTCAGAGTCGTCGCCGTGATTTGGAATTCAATGCCTGATCGATACATAATATGCAAATATAACAGTTTGAACAAGATTGAAAAGGGGATGCCTTTTTCATTACATATGGGAATGACATGAATAATATTTATATTATGCAAAAAGGGCTGAATACTCTAGTTTCATATGATGCTTTGTAGGTGTTATGGTTTCAAATTTCTCCTATTACCAAAATTATAATATTACTGTATATGCTTTCTAATAAACCGTTTAAACGTGGCATATTGTAATTAACAATATATTCTATTCCCTGTTATATATTATAGTATGAGGTTCCAGTCGAAACAAATGTGACAATAGAAAATAGGTGAACGTGTTGAATTTCGTTAAGATGTAATTGAGGAAGTGAGTATGTAACATTAAATATTAGATTTTCTTTTTTATAGACAAATAGTTTTAAAACCAAAGGATCATATTTATTTACTTTCCTTCCTTCGATGCGAACTTACTCAGAACGCGTCTTCGTTTGTACTATTATACGACTTCAACTTTACCGGATGGTGTTCATGATTATGTTTAGTATCAGTAAATTTAAAAGCATCGTTAAAGCTCATAATCAATTCAGTTTTAATAGATTATCTGAGTCCAAATCAAAGCATTTTCGAGACCTAAATTCGGGGCTTGTCAAATTAGAACCACCCCTCGAACCAACACACAATCTCAGCACATGGAACAAAATTTGTTCTGTGTCGACCAAGTAAGTGTACGGTTACGTTTCGACGGTACCGATTTACCAATAGCTCATACATTCAATTTACGCAATAGAATAATCACACTTTGATCGGCAGGCAACTAAGTATGCGCGACATGTTGATGAATGGTTATATCGATCTTTGCGATGGTAGGACAGAGTTCTTGATCCCAAATATTAATAAATTATTACGTTCTCTTATATGTCAGGTTATAGATAGATATATAGATTTCATGAGATTTTATGACATTCGTTGTTCAGAAGGAAAGAATCAGTTCAAGTCGTCAGTATGGCAGAACCATCTCCTCTAATTGACATAAACGTCGGAGGACAAATATTTACAACAAAACTTAAAACAATTGCAAAATTCCCCGATTCAGTTCTTGGGAGAAAAGCTGCTTATTTTCTTGCCAACTCGAAATTTGATTCGTCTGACATTGATTCACAGGGTCGACTGTTTTTAGACAGAGACCCAAAGATATTTTCTCACGTCTTGCAATATTTGAGGGAAGAAAATAGTACTGATATCAAGAAAGGTGCTGATTTATCTCCTACGCAAGATTTTGAAGAAGGACAAACATGCAAATGGTTGCATCATTTACCAAAGTACGAGCAGCAACGCTTTGCTGATGAATGTGAACATTTTCATCTATCGCTACCGTCGTTTTTCGCAGATTCTTTTCCCGAATTTCAACGAAGTCATCCTCATTTTAATCGATGTGTTTCAGACAATGAAATTTACAGATCTGAAATGAGGTAGTTCTTGCTTTTTATTCACGATATTTTGCTTTTTTTTATTGCTAGCATCTGCAATATAACCAAACTATCATTTTCGAGCGAATAATAATAGGAAGAAAATTATACCTTTGCTTTAACTTTTTGGTCATAATTCAAATTATGCACAAATTTGATTAGTTGTCATCCGACTCATCTAAAATTCCATAAAATATCAATATTCGCACTTACTTCCCCTAACGCGTAACCTCTTCTCAGAGTGGTAAATATTCATCACATAATTTGACAAAACCTAACCTAAGCCAAGACAATCGAGAATCGACAAAATATTCAAAGGTTAAAAAGATAATATGAACAGTGTGTACTGCCTCATTGTAGTTTTGGGTCCCCTTCTCGCATATACTTCATCACCCCATATTTTAACAAGAAGCAAAAACAAATTGTATAATAACAAAAACCTCATGATATTTCCTCATAACCAAATTCTGAAAATTAATAACAGAGCGAGAAGAAATGAAAATTTTATTCACAGTCATAAGGGAAAACATCTACATCACAGATCGATAAATATATATTTGATATTTTATTTTTTGAACACGAAACGCACCTATAGATCGTTTTGTAAAATTATTGTTGTTGTACTTGTTGGCATGTTCTGAGTTGTGTTTCTTTGCAACTATTGTACCAATCGATAGTTTCAGTACTAGATATGAAAAAGCTAAAAGGCGGTTATTTTCATTTTTCAAATTTTATTTTAAAGTCGGTGGGCTCGATGTTTAATTTGGCAGATTTTGCGTATATTGCGCCAATATATGGCATCCTGCCAGGCCTAATTTTGAAAAACGATTTGAAGCTTCACATTGCTGTACTGACAAAAGGTCTAACTTTGGATGCTTCCTAAATTTGAGTGATATATATTTTTTAAATCTTGCACCAAAATGCGGCATATATTGACTATGATGCTGCTTATTTTACACATTTTCTGTTCCAGAAATAAATCTATCAGACGCTCTCATAGTGGACCAAAATATATATCATTGGGATATCGAGCAACATATGAAGTAACAAGAGACGCTTTCAGCAATGACAAATTTCGCAGGATCACTCGAATCACAGTTTGCGGAAGTGCTTCGGCAGCGAAAGAGGTTTGTTTCAATTCAATAGGAATAAGAAAGAGTCATCGTATTCTCTTTTGAGTTCAGTTCATATTACACTATAGATCTATTGCGCGTTCCCGACTAACACAGAATCTTACTGAAATATTCTAAAATATAAAATTAATAAATAAAAATGGGGTAGAAGCAGAAATATCGAATCTATAGCAATTAACACCATATATCATTTCATATATATATATATAATTAATAATAAAAAACTGGAGTAGGAACAAAAATATCGAATTTATAGCAATTTACATCATGCATCGGTATATCTGTATATCACGTGTCACGGACATTGTATACATACTAGAATAATCAGGGGTTCTCAACCTTTTCTCTGTTAAGTACCCCCCAATCACGAAACAATCAACGCGAACCCCCAGTAATCAGACACCAAACTAAATTGTGATATATTGACTAACAATTTGCTGTAACGACTGCCAAGCCGTGCATTTCACATTGTTGCATCACAATAACAACAACTCAAGATCAGGGCAAATGTACGCTGAGTTTCAATTGGCATTTATTTTCCTCTTGTAGTTACTTTCTTTGTTAAAGGATATTAAAAAACAGCAACACACGAAAACTCGACTGTCATCCAAGTAACCCTGGAAATCTTCTTGTGAACCCCTGGGGGTTCGCGAACCCCAGGTTGAGAACCCCTGTACTAGATAGATAGCAAAATAACGTGAGCAAGTTGAATTAAGTTACGATCTCTACACCTGTTTAAGGTCACTCATAGAGAAAAATTGACGCGGACTTATCCGGAAATAATTACACTATGATCCAATTTTACAAATAAATGAATAGATTCTACTGTTATTCAAATTTCTAGGTGTTCGACGACGACATTAATGACAGCAGAGATCCGGATAGACAACCCGCAGGTGGATACACAAGTCGATACTACTTGAAACACAATCACCTAGAAAAGGCATTCGAGTCATTGAGTGCGAAAGGATTCCACATGGTTGCTTCCACATCAAGCGGTTCTAAAACACTGACATCACAAGCTGATGAATACAAACAGTGGACTGCTTACGTAGATTACGTATTTTGCCATCCGTAAAACACACGAGTCGTCTTCCGGATGAAATATCAGCTGACTTATTAACATGAACTGAATTTTTGAATTATTTAAAAAAAATCTAAATTCGCAGATTTTTGAAATTTTGTTTATGTAAAACTGTTGCTAATGTTCGTTTGGGATATAGTTTTCTGCGAATGAGGCACCTGGACCAGACACGCAATACACACAAAAACATTTCGTTTATCCGAAATTTTTTTTTTAAATTGTTGATTAAAGTTACAACTCAACTCTTTTAAATCAAGCTTTTATTGTATAATTAGTACCTGTTTTACAGCTTTATGAGCAATATCATATAATATTATATATATATAAAGTGATTGTAGGAAATCACTTTCGTATTTGGGTATTCATTTTGTTGTTGTTGTGCATTGTAAAAATTGACTTCCATAGGATACGCTGTATTACATGTCGAACTTAAATACTGTAAATAATTTTATAAAATTATTGTTGGATTTTCTCGTATGGTCCTACATCCTAGTTTTTTGAAAGAAGACAAGTCATCATTCCCAAGTTTTCTTAATGCCTCATGCGAGGATGTAAATAAACTAACCCGTCAGGATTAAGCTCGAGAAGCGTTAGAAGCAATGTATGTAATCTATTCAACAAAATTGGTGTCTTTTTATTTTGTATTTACATTCGAAGCCGCCGACCTGCATTTTCATTGGAATATAGAACTGTTTATATATTGTTTACGAGTGGATTGTCAACTATATGTTATTTGTAAATACGTCACGTGTTGTAAAATCATACTGTATTTATCGGCCATTGATTTGGTTGGTTATTACGCTTTTGTTTACTTTTACTTTGCTATTATACGATGTTTGATTTGATGAATGTAAAAATAATACTGCCATACCGTTTCATGATTTGTTTTTATTATCAAACAAAAACATAAGACAGAAAGCTAGATATAATACTGCCAATAGTTTTTCCAGCAAAGTATTTTACAAAAAAAATAATTACCATGGAGTCTTTCACACCATGAAGTTCAGAGTATTTGTACTTGTACGCAACACGAAATATCTACATATATATGAAATATACAAGAAAAAAATTTCCCCTTTCAAGGTTGGATTTTTGTCCCATGTGTTTCTATTCGAATTTAACAATGTATTGAAGCAAATCGTTCATTTTTTCTCCACTGCTGTTTGAATGACGAGTACGTCTCATTCTAGTAAAATCACATCAACATCTCAAAATAACATTTATTCCATATAGAATATTGTTATTTGTGAAGGGAAATCTTGTTATTTGCGAGTGAAATGCAAACATGTAGACTATTATGCAGCCTATGACGCTCTAATGCAAAATTCGCTCAAGTATGCATGAAAATTAGTGCCTCAATTTTGATCATTCAAATATTTATAACTCGGAGTAGTTTATACGGGAATATACACAGAATTGCTTGTCAGTAAGCAGTTAGATTGGACGAATTTTCATTTCACTAGATGAAAGATGAGAACCATATGGCCAGCTGAAATCAGTGTTGTACCTTCCATTCAAATTCGATTCATAGCAATTTTTATACCACCATGCCCCGTTATAACTAACTGCGCAATTCGCACTTGAGTTTATATCGTTATCAGCATCAAAAGTAGTAAAAGCGCGACCAGTATGGTAAGTCATTTTATCTCCAGCTGTGCCAGAATATCCAGACACTGTCAGCTTGAACTTAGAGTGCTCATTTCCTACTACAAAAGAGCTGTAAATATAAAGTATAGGTGTTATGTTCATTGCGTCAAACCATTTTCCACTTAACTCAAATTGCACTGCTTAACAAGCCTAATAACAATATGAAATCATATTTTCAGAATATTATATAAATTTATTTCTTTTCATCACCTGTATTGAGCGTATTTGACGGCACCATTTTTGAAGGTGAGGTCGATTCGAAGTTTATAGCTTCTGAGACTGGTAATTTGATGAATAGTTTTCAAACCTTTCAAAAATAAAAGCATTCGAAAATGAATCAAATGAAATAAAAATTTTCAAGGTTGAATTCCTCACAACAAAATATATCGAGATATGAACAAAATTTCACTGTTATTATTTCGCACTTTCTAATTTTCAACTCGATTTTATTTTTCCGTCAAAAAATGAAATATAGTCACTTTTTACACTTTTTAATATAAACACTATTTTTTTTTATATTTCGATGAAAAATATTTTGTTCAATAACAAATAATACGATGGTAGTTTTAAGATTTGTTAATAAAAAGCATTATTTCGTTTATTGTTAACAGAAGTGGTGTTCTATTATATAAAGAATGCAACCTCAACCAAAGCAATAAAATTCGGAAATATTTTCAACACTATGATCTTGCTCTACGTTTCAAAAAAGATTTTTGTTTGTTTAACACGTAGTTTGCTGAGTTATATCATCAGACTAATGTGTATTTTTACTTTGATGAAAAGCAAATTGACAAATTTTCAATATTGTTGAATATTTTCTAAACCAAAAGCAAATGAATAATAACGAATTGTGTCACGAGCCCCTATTTTGTTTTCTTTTATTTTGCACCACTGCTGTTTTTGTTCCGTCTCCGACTTCATAGTTTTATGAAAGTTGAACAACATCGCAATAAATTTACTACAATTCTACATCATACAACGTACCAAGCCAAAACTCTCCATCTTTGTTTCCGAATCCTTGCACATACGCTTCCCAGTTTCTATAGAAGTCAACTGACCCATCATATCTTTTTTGAATGACCTGCAAAAGTCATTTCATATTGAATCGGTCTACTGTTTTTTTATTATCTGGTCACAATTTCATGACATTGCACGACGTTCACTTTATGCGACGCATAGCTAAGATCTTCCCCATTCTATAAAATTATTATCGCGTTTTTTGTCAATTTTTCGGGTAGGGATGAGCCGGGCTGATGGACACCAGAACGTAGTACGTGGACCTGGTTAGGGTTAAGCTATAATTTCATGCACAAGTACTACGGTATTTACTTAGCTAGTCATCGATTTCGTAATAGAACTGAAATAAGTAGAATTCGAATAAAATTTTAACCTAATCCTAACCTGGAACACATACTACGTTCCGGTGTCCGCCATCTTGGTGCACATACTTCTTGAGCGCCAGAAAAGGGATATTACGCCATAACACCAAAGAGTGTATCGTTGAATATTTACATCCTTGTTGTCGGATAATGGTCAGACAGTCATTAGACTGCAATATTTTATGAGATCGCGGCTGGAGTTGATCAATTGCAACAATTTATAAAATATATTAAACGAATAGGTAGATATTTCTGATTGGACTCATTGCGCTCTTATATCGCTTCATTCTACATATATCTGTAGTATATAATACTAATACTTACAATCCAGCCGTTGTCGTCTATTTTGTACAAGGAACAGTTTATTAACACTGATGACATGTTGCCGATATTCTTCCACGGATAAATTTCGGCTAATCCATCAGATCTATTATTGCGTTCATTTCCGTACATCGTATATTCAATGCAATTGGATGGGAGAACAAGCAGGTTGACATGGCCTAAAAATGAAAAATATATTTATTACCATTGACACCATATCACGTGTACGTTTTTTTAATGGATTGGTACATTAACGCAGTGGTTCCCAACCTTTCTATCCTGGCGGACCGGTAAAATTAAATTAAATGTACTCGCGGACCGGCAAAAATTGAAATAACCGGAACAGATAATATAATGCAATGTCGGGCACTTAAAAAAGGCACACTTAAAAACATTTCACACGAAGAAAAACTATCAAATAATGTGCCAGCCAAAAATTGAAATGGGTAAAACATAATTTAATATCATCTCTTTCGTAATAAAATGCAGTACTGGGCAGTGGCGTAGCAAGACTCTCGTGACCCCGCAAAAATATTTCGAGGAAATGACCCTAAAAACTCTCGGACAAAAGCTAAAACAACGCTTTTTTTATTTCGTCAAAAAGCATAACATGTCGCTATTAAAAGGCAATGGTAACAAAAAATTTGCCGTTTATCTTGGTTACTTTATATTTTTTTCATACGTGCGTACTCTTCTGCCCTTTTTCCGCGTTTCTGTGCGCCACTGAGAGGTTTTGCTCTCGACATCATTGTGACAGCCTTTGCAATTTTGCCGGTGCGATCAAACCACAAAACGCCGAAAATCGACGACTCCCTGGCATTGTTACTTAACAAAACGATTTGAGCAGAACTAACATCAACATTAGATGTGCATTACTGGTTTTGCAATGTAACTTTTGGTTTTGCGGCTTACATTTCTAAATTCTAACCGCTTGGGCCCCTTGGCGCTGTGGGCCCTTCCGCCACTGCGGGGTGGAAGCTATGCCACTGGTACTGGGCACCCATTATGCGTGAGAAAGGCACGCATAAAACATTTCACATAAAAAACTTGTACATGCCAAATATTGTATAAACACAATTAACTCTAGTGAGAATTTTGCTGCTGTTTCGTTTCCAATATTGGATTGCAAACGAGGCCTCAAAGAAGTTTCTGCAACACGTAGCTCTGCAGAGGCGAGTAGCCGATTTTGTTGCTTCGTTTTAATTAAAGCTAGTGATGAAAATGTTTTTTCGCATAACGCAGTAACTGATTGAAAATACGGACAACAGTTTGATTGCTTACTTAGCGATGGGTATTCGCCATCAAGAGATATCCAAAATTGTGACAGTGATTCTTTCTTAAATCTGGACTGTAAAGTTGAATCACAATTTTAATTAAGTTTTTTTTTTTGACTGGCAAGTTGGCACCAGGATCAAAATCCTACTATGTCTGCTCAAATTATTGGAAAAGATCTCTGCCGCCCATTTTTTTGCGCGTCTCGTGACCACCTGCAGTGTCGCAACAAGTTCATATCTTACTGGAATATTATACTGCTCTTGACTGTTTTCTGGTTTAAACAAAGGAAATATGCATAACGTTTTATATAAATGGTCATAATAATCAGGAATATGACGCAGAACAGAAAAAGAACGCGTGCCAATTTTTAGCTTTTGAATTTTGCCATATTTGATGGAGTGCATTTGCGATGAGACGGACCTGAAAAAGCAAACATTGTGATTACTCGACGCCAAGATGTCGCAATATGACGGCGGGAGAGAAATTGCGTAATAAACAAACGCAACCTCATCTTCGGTAAAGCGATCGGAGCGCATTCGCGATGAATCGAAGCCAAAAAGGGAAAAGTGTGATTACTCGGCGCCAAGATGTCGCGAATTACGTCGCAATATAACGATGGAAAAGAAATTGCGTAATAAACCAACGCAACTTCGTCTTCGGTAAAGCGATTGAGACGGAATAAAAACAACGAAGTATGCGCACCAAGATGGCGCACAACCTGAACTCAGGTTGTGTATCAGGTTAGGATTCAGGTTACATCTTGGTGCGCATACTTCAGAAGTACCAATAAAAGAATCATTTTCGTCTACAACGTAATGTCAAAAATCGTCGATTAGCTGTACGGCCTGCTTGTACATTTCCCGCTTGCAATTCTCGTGGAACTATGGAATAAAAAAAAGTGTCATCTAATAAATACGCGAAAATTCCGACCTCAAATTGAACAAAACCTTGGCTAAAATATTTACGAAAAATTTACGATTACTTTCATTCCATATATTTCCCAAAGATGTATTTAGTAATATTACATAATTAGACTGATTTGATTTGCTGGTATTGTAAACGGACACAATTACAGTTGCGACCTGTAAACAGCCAGAAAGTAATTATCGGATTATGTTGATCCAACTATCACGCCCAAACTGGCAAATAAAGCATTAGATTCTATTGCGCAGTCTTTTCCCCACCTTCTAAATTTTCTACTTTCTTCTGCATGTCGCGATTTGTTGATTGCAGTGTCTCCATAGTTCTTCTCAAACTTCTCATTGCCTCCTCATCAGCTACATCGCATTGACAGGGATCTCCCTTTTGGCCCCTTTCACCCTTTTCGCCAGCAGCACCCCTCTTACCGGGCCTTCCTTGGGTAACTTGAATATCGTCATTTGAATATGTGTGGCCATTGGCGCCTGGTTGGCACAGGGTCGTTGTTGTAGTACAAGTGTAAGGAGGAGACAAAGCGTGTTCTTGAGCACGAGTACACACAGTATGCAAAATTAGTAATATGATTTCGAATGCTTTAAATAACCTCCAGGAATACATTTTTGCTCTACTAAGTGTATATAAATAGAATTTATTGAACATTTCCCTGGTTTTGTTGTTTTCGAATGTCAACTTTTTACAATGTCTGTCACTAACTTGAAATTTAGCTAGGAGTCATAAAAATTTAATTACATTTGTGATTTTGACGAATTATTTGATCGACAGCCTGTTTAAAATGATGTTATATTTCGTCTTTCATTCTGACCGACTAACGCTTCTCTATTTCATTATGGTTACAATGTGGATGCAATATTTACAATAATCGCTGCGTGCGTGATCAAGTTCTTGGCATATAAATTCTCAAACTGGAGGATTATTAGGCTGACAAAACGTTTTATGTATGTTCAATGGTTCTGTGTCTAAACGCAAAAGAAAAAATATCGGCCATTGTCATCGGGCGGGCCTCAATGCTGAAATATTCAACGGGTTGAAAAGTTAAATCTGATCTTTCTCATATGTTTGACGTCACGCGGATTTCTGTCTCACTAAAATATTGGTTTAGATAAAACAACAAAATCTGAGCTTGTGCAAACAGCAAAGTCAAACAACAAGTTCAAATGAAAGGCTTTCTATTTCTGTTGATGCTTAAAATTGTACGTTCGTCTATTCCTTCGTCACGCTAATTGCTATCATGAACCCTACAACAAAATATCCTTCTCACATAACATGGGAACGCAGTTATTGTTGATTTCTCACGTCCTTAAGACTTTCTGGGTGCAACAATACCTGATCACGTATACCGCAAGCAAAAATTACTGCTAAAAATAGGTATCACAGAATTTCAAACGTGATGAGGAGTGAGTCAACTAACAAATGAATTAGATTGGCGCTGACCGTTTAGTAATTTATCTTTGGGCGAGTTATGGATTTTGTGTATTTAGAAATCATTCACTAATCAAAAAGAAGCCACCGAAAACAAAACAAATTACCGACTCATTAGTAACGTTTTTTCAACGTTACTTTTGAATCTCATCCGCGACCGCAGAATGTGAAATACATGTTGGGCACGAATCACGCTATTAGTAATAAATTATATACGGACAAACCAACACTCTATTCGCACAAAAAGTTTATTAGATAAGGAGTCTATTAGATATTTATTAATACAAGATTTTTATAACATTGATGTTTTATGCTGTTTTTGCTTTTCTGGCATGAACCGACCCAGCCTGATCTTCATAACTTCTAGAAACAAAACCCCAAACTAATCACCGAACCCCTCATAAAAGTTGAGCCGTTCTAATTGTTTAATATAAATTTATACATGTTAAAAACGAAAAGATCGTCATTGTACTTCTCATGCAATACAAATACCATAATAGTCAATTACGCGTTCCGTCCTCATTTTTGTAAAAAAAAAATCCAAGATCTCATTTGAAAGCTCATAGGTTATCCAACAATTTTGTAACCAAATAATCTTTTCCTTTCTTTTTCAAGACGGCTTGAATCTGAACCATTTTGTCTCGGTTTTCTTTGGCCTTATTCGGATCAAGTTTAGCTATGAGGTAGCGTAATACAGCATCACTGTTGGTATTTTTGTTTTCGAGGAGAGATTCGAGTAATTTTACGATTTCAGGTCTTTTTTGAGGATCCATGCCCGACAAAATTGAGAGAAGTGAATCAACAAAATAACACGCCTTTTCTGGCTTGCTAGTTGCCAACGATTCAATTTTTTTCAAATAGGTTTTCACAACATCCTCTTTTTTGAATTTATCTTTTTTCTTCAGTGATGTGATAAGTGCGCTAATAAACGAGCGGCACTCTCCAACAACGCTTTTTTTGATCATTTCTAGCGCTCGAAGAGAACATGCCAATTCTGCTGGGTCAGTTTTACCGAGTAGATACAATATTATTGCTCGACTGATCGGATTTCTTCTTATCAACTTCTTTTTCAGTAACTCCTTTAACTTACCACTCAGACCGTCTGGTTTAAAAGCTTTCAATAGTTCTCCCATGTATATTACTAAGTCTTTTGAACATGACCAACCAATTGAAGTTTTGATTCGAACAATGATTTCCATTTCACTTTCGATTGCTTCTGCCAATTTATCGTTTGCTTGACCTCCTGTAAAAAATGACCATTGATGCAATAATTATAAATCAATACTTTTAAATATTAAATAATAATATAAACATGTATTCCTAATCAATTCGTGTGTTTTTATATATAATGTTATTCAAATTGTATATTATGCTACCTTGTTGTTGTTGTCCATTTCCGCCATTTTCTTTTTCTTGATAAAGAATTTGTAAGTCTTGGTCAATATCTTTTATAATATCACCCACAGGTCCATCCATAGCGTCAGCAAATATTGTTTGCATAAAATTAAATTGGTTATTAGCCCATGTTATATCACCCAATACGCCTACGAAATAGGCGAGCATAGCTTTTTGCAACGGAACCGAACTTTGAAAGTATTGTTGCTGCAGCTGAGTTCCTAAAGTCCAAAGGTTTTTAGAATCGAGTAATTTTGCAACATTGATGACGTGTTCCGAAGCGGAATCGGTTTCTTCCACAGAAATGTAATAAGTGACAATATCGTATTCAACTCTAAGTTCAGCAGGAAGATTTCCCTTCGATTCTGCAAATTTTCCACTGTTAATCGCAAGTTCTGTTGAAGATTAAGAATATATTTTATGACTCAATTGTCAAAAAAGGAAGCATAAACTTTTGCTTGACGAGTTAAACAAAACATAATTCTCACTATTGAAGGTGAGTGCTCAAATGTACATGGTTGTTACAGTAAATTTCAGACAGGAATTACTATAGTCTGACGTAAAATAGATACTGTAACACTGAAAGCTGAGGGCCTGACCCTAATTACCATCAGCTGAAGATCATGTTACTAAATGTTAGTTCAGTACTAATCAGTCTTGAGCCCTCCAATCATCTTTATTTTATGTCATTAACGTTAGAAAATATGACTTGATTGGAAGCGCCTTGTGTAGCAAGCTAAACATCAAACCTGCTACCGATATGGTGACCCAATATTACTTAGTAGAGAAGCCCACTTTAAGAACAATTGGAACGTATATCCTCACTTCAGACTATTCTAGTAACTTTGAGATACGTGTCATTCAGATATTTTCTGAATATAAAGACTATAATATATACAACGGTGGGGTGGGAATTTTAAAATGGGCAAATATATGTACCTGCAACGTATGTATTCAGGACGAAAATTTGACCGCGTAAACGATATTGCTGATAAACAAAATGGGGACGTCTTAGACAGGGGATATTGAAATCCATGCAAATGTTTTCTATTATTCAAGTAATTGGCGGTACGGTACCACCGCATGCGATTATTTTATTGTTATTTTGTTCAACTTACCTCCATCCAAATATGAGTTAGGTTCAGGTTGGCAATACTGAAATACAAAATAGCAAATTATAATAAAGTGTAAAAATGGTTTGTTCATCGTAAACTATTAGGCTTCCAAACTTAACCTTTTAAATAAACCGAATATAACATAGCTTACGTTGGTTATAGATCGGTCTCAAGGATCGATTATTGAAGTCTTGGGCTTATAAATTTATATATCTAGATTGTATCATTACCTATTATATCAAAGCGGGACAGCGAAATAAATAGGCAAATTGTGTTCAAATAAATTGAATTCGCAGCTATTAATACTAATCAAAAACCTGGTTTCTTGCTTGTAGATAAAAAATGTCATATGCTATATAAACTAAAAACACGCATCTTGGCACTAAAACACATCATCGCCGAAGGCAAAAAACGCATATAATCTCTCTATTTTATATAAGTTTTTAACGCCAAATTCCTATTAAATTAAGTGTAACATTTTTGGCTTGAGAATCTATCATTCTATTTTACTCTCGCACACTCTTATTCAATGTAACGCTGATATAAAGATAAATATTATACAACCCAATCTCTGAAACTGTTGCAAAGATTAAGCTTCACAACAAAGCATTTGCACAGCTTAAATCAATCGTCGAAGATATATTATTTTATAGACTGTTGCCATGACTAGGCTGTTTTCTTGTTAATATTAGACCTGGAAATTAGAGAATCAAAATGACACAATTTATACTATTTAATGTTAATTTAGCGTTATATATATATGGATCTGTAACTTTGTTAAAACAACCAAATAATTTTTAAATATAAATGATTTTATGCATAATAAATCTACTTACAGAGTCACACTCCCACTGCTGTTTTATGCAAAAGCAAACGGGTTCACCGGATTCCGGTCGACAGAACGAGGATTGATGACAATTAATGCCACTACAGGGGTCGGCATCTAAATGTAAGAATTTGATTGAATGTGGAAACAAGATCTTAAATTGTTAGATTCTAATACACAACAAATTTCTTTATTTAAGTGATTCGATGAGTATATGAATATGATTCAAAGGAAAAAGAATTCCAGGTGTTTGTGCATGCTGTTAGACAAAAAGCAGTAACTCCAATAATAGTTAGGTCTGCGATTATATATATATATATGGGATTCGAGTGATGCAATATTTCGGATTGACGTCGTCAGTTTTGTCATATGTTTTAGTGCCAGTATCTATCACCTTTAACGATTAATGCCGAAATATATGAACCCTTAAATCAAATACTAATTTTGCCACGAAAATGCCAGTAAAATTGTAGCTAATTGTAAAAAAATGTACCGAATGTCATAAATAATTATTGAATATCATATGAAGGTGTGCCTGCGAATTATAAAAATACAGCAAAATTTGGGAGAAAATATTGATCGGGTCGAACTGAGAAAATGTTCAAGAATAGAATGAAAGCTTTCTAATCTTTTAGCATTCTGGGACATCTTCCATATTATAGTACTGAAAATTGCCATCGACCGGTCCATTGGTTGCGAAGTGAAGCGATATTGTCATAATAACAATAATAAGAAAAAAAAAGAATTTTGCAAAAAAAATGTGCTTAGTGTCTAACAACGGTCGAAATATTGGAATATCGATTAATCTTGTCAAAATCGGATCGGTATTGTTCAAAATATGTTAACCATTTTGGTCATTTGGTATAACAAACGAGGCCCTTTGGAAATTGGGTTGAAACTGGCCATTTTGGATGCAGTCTGCATTTTCATGACAATTGTTGTTCTGACAGGGATCATATCCTGAATCAGCAATATAAAATTAGAAATACCATAGATTCGACAGGCAAAAGTTAGGCTACGTAAAAGTGAGAGAATGATAGAAACGCACATAATATAAAAAAGGAGAAAATTAAGAGAGAAAATAAAAAAGTTCTCTTTTTAGTCATCATCCTACTGAACTTACCCGTACATCGATATCCGTTTCCATCGTACCCACTTTTACATCGACAAGTAAATTGAAACTGGCCATTTGGGATGCAGTCTGCATTTTCATGGCAATTGTTGTTTTGGCAAGGATCATTTCCTCCACCTGCAACACATATAGCAATTAGTTTTGTATTTTAACAACTGTTGGCTGCAAACCTATTTTAACAAAAGACACCTGAAACTTGCACTTTAGGAACGATAATAAACGATTCCCATTTATTCTTCACAAATTTTCTAAATTACCAACAATTAGGGTTTCACAAGTGTGGACACTATGAATAAAATTACGGTAAAGATTGTTGAAATACATATCCGAATGGGATTTCAGCTATTTTTAGTATTCAAAACTCATGTAAAAGCTAAAAAGCGAACATTTCAAAGAGTAAAACGTAAAAGTCAATAAACCTATCAATAGTAACTTGAAGGGGCAAATGTTTTTTGGAATAATCTTCAGGAACACAGACATTTTTCTATCTTATTCCGCTGTAATATAACTTTTTATTAATTTGATTTGATATACTTTTAAATTCTTGAAAGTGCATACTTTCACAGGTGGGTGCCGCCGGAATCCATTCCGCATTTTGTCCAAATCCAAAGCTGCTTTGACTGCAAGTTCTCTGTCTTGCTCCAACGATGGAATAACCAATGAAACAATTGTAATATATGGTTGATCCGACAGGAAAGCTCGTTTGTGAAACACCAGAATGTGTACCGCCTTCGATAAAACCGGGCTTTTTGCAAGAAAACTGCGGTTTCTGTTGCCCAAAATCAGAGGAAAGAGATGGATTTATGCGGGCGCAAACGCTTTGATAGTCGTCGCAGCAACGAGAAGAGAATTGATCACAGTCTGTACAAAGGCATGCCCCTTCATAGCTACCACATCGTCCTTTGCAAGAACCTGGAAATGATAAAATTAAGTCGGGTGATGTAATTTATAGGGGTGAGATAATGAATAATAGCAACTATTTTTATCGTGATTATAACAGAAAACCAGATCAATTATAGCAACTAGCATAATGATTTGTCATATAATTCCTACATGAGGCAGACCCAAGATGGTAGTGTCGGGACTTGTGAAATTGCTTGGAACAAAATTTATATATAAAATAATATGGAATAAGTACGAAAATTCATTACCTCCGCAAGAGTCGCGTCCATCCCCTTCGTATCCATTCTTACATTGGCAGGAGAATCCAAATTGTCCGGTTGGAAAGCAATTGGCGTTTTCGTGGCAATCGTTTTCTAGGCAAGGGTCCGTTGCTAGAGGAAATAAAATAGGTTTGGCAAGTTGAATGAGGCAAATTAGGAAAGAAAGGAAAAAGGTTTAAATGCAACTATATTCATCAACCTACGTGTACATTCATATCCATTTCCATCATAATCACTTTTACATTGACAAGTAAATTGAAATTGTCCATTTGGGATGCAGTCTGCGTGTTCATGGCAATCGTTATTTTGGCAAGGATCGTTTTCTGTGCCTGCAAAGTTTACTGCGCCTGGAACACATATTTGAATAATTAGTTAACTATCCTAATTTTATTTTGAAAATAAGTTTACCTTAAATTACCAGGTTAATGTAAAAATGAGCCATAATAAACCATGCATTGGCAAGAACCAAAATTTGCTAAAATACCAACACCAGGTATTACCAGAAAAACATGAATAATTAAGATGTTTTTGACATGAGATCCTTTTTGAATACAATTTCAGTTCTCGTCTTTGTTTTAATTGAAAATCAAAATACACGTTGAATCCAAAGACAAACTATTCAACAAGTAACACATAAACTCCGACCTCCACAGTTGACTTGCTGTCCATTTACTTCATACCATTCTCTACAACCACAATAGGATGATTTGCATTCAGCATATGGATAAGCAGGGCAATTTGGTCGATAACATAAAGGTACAATCCCACAGTTCCTTGGTTCACACGGCTGCTCTGTCTGAGTGTAATCTGAAAAATTAATATATATATACTAATATGAATTTTTATACTTACACGTTAGCAAGCTACAGGATTGTAACTCGGTTATTTAGTGTCGTATAGCAAACACTGATTACAAGTATACAAATACGGCCAACGAAATCGGCATATGAGCCAATCATGTAATATTCAGATATGGGATTAAATTTTAGGCATAGATAGACAATCTCTAACTGGGCAGTTAACCAAAGTAAAAAATAATTACGGTTAGGGTAACGCGTGCAAGATTCATACAGAGCAAACTTAAAAGAATCCCTTCAAAGACATTTTAAAAGTAACAGAAATCAGAGACTTTAAGGTGCATCAATTACAATCGGATCTTTGTCAGAACGTAAACCTGGTAGTCTTTTAACAACGGCAATATTATTCAGAGTTAGAACATATGTTCCATCCTTCAACTTTACCTCTGCACTGATATCCATTTCCTTCATACCCACGTTTACATCGGCAAGTAAATTGATATTGTCCATTGGGAATGCAGTCTGCATTTTCATGGCAATTGTTGATTTGACAAGGATCATTACCTGAACCAGCAAAATAAAATTAAATAATTGGTTTGCATTTTTCTTCTAAGTATTAATGTATTGGGGGAAAAAAACTGAAAGCTAGGTATTTGTTTTGACAAAAATGTTTTTTTGATTGATTTTAAAAAAGCAGTATGCAATGTCCATTTTTGTTACAATATGCCTTACAATTCCCTCATCGTTAGTTTTCTATCACAATAAAGTATTACTCAGATAGCAACGCATGGATGACCTGTTGAAGAAATAACATTGATTTGACAGGCAAAAGTTAGGCTATGTGAAAGTGAGAGAGTGATAAAAACGCACAGAATGTAGAAAAGAAGGCAAATTAAGTGAGTAAAGATAATGTTCTTAATTTTTTCATCATCCTACTAAACCTACCCCTACATTGATATCCGTTTCCATCGTACCCACTTTTACATCGACAAGTAAATTGAAATTGGCCATTTGGGATGCAGTCTGCATTTTCATGACAATTGTTGTTTTGACAAGAATCATAACCTGAATCAGCAATATAAAATTCAATATCTAGTTTGCAATTTTCTACTTCTTGTTTGTGGCAAATTAAGTGTCAAGTTGCATTAGGTGAGCGTTTTTAATATGCATATATGTTCATGGGAAGAAATAATTTGAGATATAAGGAGTCTTGCGGGGTTGGAAATACGATCGATGATTATGGTGATTACCAATGTATTGGTAAGAAAAAACAACTGAGGCTAGGTATTTGTTTTTTCATAACTGTTGTTTTTTTTCGATTGGTTTACAAAAATGAATATGCAATATTCATATTTGATACAATATATCTCACAATACCATCATCGTTAGTTTTCTATCACAATAATATATATATTACTCAAATAGCAAGGCATGGATGACCTGTTAAAGAAATAACATTGATTTGACAGGCAAAAGTTAGACTACGTAAAAGTGAGAGAATGATAGAAACACACAGAATATAGAAAAGGGGGCAAATTAAGTGAGTAAAGATAATGTTCTTAATTTTTTCATCGTCCTACTAAACCTACCCCTACATTGATATCCGTTTCCATCGTACCCACTTTTACATCGGCAAGTAAATTGAAATTGGCCATTTGGGATGCAGTCTGCATTTTCATGACAATTGTTGTTCTGACAGGGATCATATCCTGAATCCGCAATATAAAATTAGAAATACCATAGATTCGACAGGCAAAAGTTAGGCTACGTAAAAGTGAGAGAATGATAGAAACGCACAGAATATAAAAAAGGAGAAAATTAAGAGAGAAAATAAAAAAGTTCTCTTTTTTGTCATCATCCTACTGAACTTACCCGTACATCGATATCCATTTCCATCGTACCCACTTTTACATCGACAAGTAAATTGAAACTGGCCATTTGGGATGCAGTCTGCATTTTCATGGCAATTGTTGTTTTGGCAAGGATCATTTCCTCCACCTGCAACACATATAGCAATTAGTTTGGTATTTTAACAATTAGGCTTGCACGTAATTGACAAAAATCAATTCCGTAATTACGGCCAAATCGATTACGCAATGACCCCGTAAATGCGATATTTTTTTCACATTTTTAAACCTATCATAACAACCAATTTGATCCACTTCTATTCCGAATGGGATATCGACAGTTGGGACAGTTTGGTTTTCATATTTCCGCCAGTACTACACGTCGGCGACAGATGCTAAAGACAAATATCGAGGAGTGAATTCAAATTAATTTTATTCTGATTTTTATCTTTTGTGTTAGCTTTGATTTTCCTTTATCAACTTTATCACCCAATTTTATGCGATCAATTTTATCATTACCAACACTGGTAAGTGGTAATATTTATGAAACGATAGTTGACTTTTTTAAAATCGTATTAACGTATTAATACGAGTTTCGTATTAAATAAAAATTCCGGGTTTCTAATTTATAAATCAACGACGAGCGTATTCTCTCGTTTGATTATACTTGCGCTTGCCTCGCGACGAAGACTTGTTATTGTACCGTTTTTTTACATTACCCGACTTTACTACCTAGTTAGCATTTTATAATAATTACTATGCTTCTTTTTACATTAAATCATTTCGCGGCCTAAATGTTATAACATTATTTGCGATAAATTTAGATCAAATATTAATTATTTGCGCATAATTTAAATACCGTACTTATATGACATGCCTTCTCCGAAAATACAAAGTTATATCGCAAAACAATGCATTTTGTGACATTTATTTTGCACTCACGAAAATATTAATTTACTTTTCTAACTCAAGTCGACAATCCTATCGGCTAAGATCGCTACAGGGGTGGTGACTCCACTACGACCCATGGGCCGGAGCCACGGCCCATCTAATTGGGCCACACGGGCCGTCAGGAAAAATTCAATTATCTTACCAAAATTTTCAATTTTTACAAAATTGTCAATATTCGAACCAAAAAATAAATCCTGTAGTATGTGTACCAGGTTAGGGTTAGGGCAAAATTTTGTTCAGATTTTTTACATTATAGTTCTATTATGAGTTTGGGGACTGTCTGTGTTAGCCAAGTGAATAGTTCCTTTACACAACTTGATGGGCCGCGGCCCATAGCCTGATGGGCCTAGGCCCAATTTGATGGGCCGTGGCCCCGGCCCATGGGCCGAAGAGGAGTCACCACTTCCACTCTAAGATCGACACAAGTTTGGTCGAGTGCCGGTGGTATTTGAGTCGACGATAAATCAAAATAAGTTGCCGCATTTGGTAAAGACTTAAAGACTTTTACTTTGGTAAAGAAAACAAGGCCAAGTACGGACAGATATATAACGATAAAATCGGTAACAGAACATCAAGATTTTGTAATAGAAAATGGATCTCGCGCAGAATAAACATGGGAAATCCCGTCTTTTTGTTGTTTCTCTGCCGTCTGAGTCGCTTTACCGATGCCGAAAAGACTAAGTTGCGTTGGTTCATTACGCAATTTCTCTTCCGTCGTCATATTGCTGTTTGATAAGCGCGACATTAATTATCACGGCATTTACAAATAGACCATGTTTGGTAAGTTGATCTCTTACATTCTTTAGTCATTTCACCCGAAGAAGTTGAAACCAGGTGTGTTGGCGTCCATCGGTCTCAACACAATTCTATGCCATATCTACGCTTAATATGTACATTTGCCAAGCTAGATAAGTTGATAATAGGTTAGTAAATGGCAACGCGTTATGTCTTCTCCATCTGCGTAACAAGAGAGAGAAAAACGGCTGCGAATACCGGAACTCTAACAAACTTTAATTTTTTACAATCGACGGAATTGACTGCTCTGAAGAGAGCTCGTTTCAATCGCGAAAGCGCTCGACCAATAATTACGAATTTACGTAATTCGTAACTTCGCTTCCGTAACTCGAAATAATTCCGTAATTCCGTAAATCCGTAAATTACGTGCAAGCCTATTAACAACTGTTGGCTGCAAACCTATTTTAACAAAAGACACCTGAAACTTGCACTTTAGGAACGATAATAAAAGATTCCCATTTATTCTTCACAAATTTTCTAAATTACCAACAATTAGGGTTCCACAAGTGTGGACACTATGAATAAAATTACGGTAAAGATTGTTGAAATACATATCCGAATGGGATTTCAGCTATTTTTAGTAATCAAAACTCATGTAAAAGCTAAAAAGCGAACATTTCAAAGAGTAAAACGTAAATTCTGACCTCCGCAGTTGACTCGTTGTCCATTTACTTCATACCATTCTCTACAATCACAATAAGATGATTTACATTCAGCATATGGATAAGCTGGGCAATTTGACCGATAACATAGAGGTACAATTCCACAATTCCTTGGTTCACACAGCTGTTCTGCTCAAGTGTAATCAGAAAAAAATACGATGCTAGTTTTGGAATGCGAGATCAGCAAGCTACGGAATATGGTGCCATAAAAAGGATTAATAAATACGAAACAATGTTTTGACACAATAAATGAGTCTTTAGCCTACGCAATATAGGGTCGGTAACACCGATACTCATATGGACAAATACTATTTGCGAAAGACCAAGACCGACGTGTCAATTAAAAATAAAACAGAGCAGCTAGGAAATACGAATAACGGATAAACCAAAATATCAAACTTTGTTTGTGTTGTTGTACAGTACTTGATATATGTCTAAATATTTGACATCTAAGTGTGTTTGATATAAGCAGCAGGTTTAAATTCTCTTTAAGTATATATGTCACGATAACAACTCCATACGACAGTTGTTATGTGAATAGCCGTAGCCAGTGGACAATCCACACATAATTCCACACACACATGTTCCACACTTTTCAATAAATTTTTATACCAAAGCAATTGAGGATGTACCAGGCTTACGTCTTTTGAATTAGCTAATCAATTACCGTTATTGTAAGCCTTCTATCTCTGACGACTACTCGGCTGTTAGCGGTCCCGGAATTTACAAATATTATAAGACAAAATTGTAAATAATAGATAATCTTACCATTGCAGTTAACAGACTGTCCGTTTACTTCGTAATTTTCTGTACAGTCGCAATATGACGGTTTACATACCGCATTTGGATATGCTGGGCAATTAGGATTGTAACAGAGAGGTACAAATCCACAGTTGCGTGGATTACAGCCAACAGGTGTATCTTCATGAACGTGCAACAAAAATATTTTCTCGATTAGTAAAATGTAATGTATGTTTGTATAACCAAATGTAAAGGCGTAACAAAAATGAAACTGGATTCACTGGTGCTGTTACTCAGTAACTAGATGCCGGCACAGATTGAAACGTCGTGTTCAAATCAGTTTAGACTTAATAATATGCTAATAGAGTTGGAAACGGCAGTATTAATAAACTGAAGTATGGAATGCTTCAAGCGCAGCAAACAAGCGCAGTTAGGGATTTCTTATATTATAATAAGTATGAACTTATTATCCATATTTTGCAAAATCGAATCGCAAAATCCTATTAGCAGCTATGGGAATGTGCATACTCGGTTGTCGTAACTATTGACGTCATCCGCATAGCATTGTAATAAAACAAGTAGGCTACAACGTTACTTACTACTTTCGCAAGTAGGAGCTTTCGGTGTCCACCTAAGTCCTGGCGAACCACCAGATAATGGACCAAGGATATCGAAAGTGCATGTTCTTTTTGGTATTCCTTTCATAGTGTAACCGGAATCGCATGTATATGTGATGCTTGAATCCAGGGTATAAAACGTCCTGGTTCCTGAATGCCTTCCGTTAGATATTGGGGCAGGGTTTGAACAAAAAATCTGAGAAGAGCCGGTATTTTGATTTTGATTATTGTCTGGAGATCCTATGGTAATAACACGAATATTACCGACATTTTGACCAGAAAGCAAGTCGCTCAAAGATGAAATCGTTCCTAAATTGTTATTCGTACAATACTCGTCGAAATCCTTACAGCAGAATGCACTTTTACAATTCTTTATGCAGGCACAAGGGAGGCCCACTACACCACATCTTTTATTGCAGGAACCTAAAAAATAATTTACACGTGAATGTTTGAAGAGAAAAATTAGTTTTAATAAAACTAGACCAAAAATGTTCGTTTCATGACAATGTTACGGCAAGTATGGGAATCGATTTTTTTTCAAACCCCCGAGTTGGGAATCAGAGAACAAATTTTGTTTGAAGCATTTGTTTTTGTTCTACTAAACAATGTTTGAACAATTCAAGACACTCATGCATGCAGACGAATGCAAAGTCGTATTGTTTCTTGAGACGTTCAGGTAGCATATTATTCCTACTTACCAAATTCCGCTAAATTGAATTGGCCTTCACAAACACCACAAATGATTGCTACAACTACAAAAACGGTTTTCATATTTTCTGACGTGAAGTTATGATACTCGATGTGAATTAAGGATAGTCAAATCTTTCACCACTTCAGCTCTATCTAACATCTGATAAAAAAAATATACGAATATTGGACTTCCAAACTTCTAGTAAATACCCTTAAATTAGTTTTTTTTTTATATTTATTACGATCTCGATTCTAGCCTAGTTAGCAATTAAACAACATTATATAATTGCTCATGCTCGTAAAGATCAAACTATACGGTACAATGAATTTGCACTTCAGTTATTTTTATCTTTCATTTTCTTGCTGCTGCATCTCAAGTTATCATAATTTGAATTAGATTTAGCAAAGATAATCCAAGGTCGTAAAGACTTGTTGTTATATACCAACTGCTTTCTGCACCCGCGGCTATTTTATAAAACGAAATTTTTTAGGTTTGCGGTAAACATTTAAGTCTAATTAAGTGAAAAATAGAGCCATTGAAATATCTTCAAACGATTAATACACTTTGTAGAATTTTATAATATTTTGTGGCTTGTCGTTTGAAGCCTTTTCAGAGAGAAACGACATTGCGAATGGGATCTCTTTTACGCCATCATTCAATATGTAAAATTAGTTGACTGAACTAAGTCGAATGACACTGGACGACCATGTGCTTCCTCTCAAATAGAAAGGGTATTATTGTGTCACGTTTTCTGGATACTATGACATTTGATTAGACCCTTGAATTTTGTAACTTGTTTTTAAACTGATGTTATCACCGAGCAGACTGAAAAAGTGCACCTCGACAATTGCCTTGAGTGTAGTGCAACAATCAATAACAATCCACCAATTGGATATGATATCATCGCTCAGGTATTATTGGACATGGAGGAGGCATATTCACATATCACCGTAGAGTTTAACGGCGTATAAGAAGGGCAACATTGTCAAGACTCTGCCTCGTGATGACCTCTCTGACCTCTGCCTACAACTTAAACTTTCCTTCCTTCTTCGAGTGTATGTTGACAAAAAGATGCAGAGAAAAAAAGTTGGTCACAATTTGCTTTTACCAACGTTATCTGAAATAAAACCCCAGATTTCAGGTCCAAGTTTTCTACACTGTATTATTTGAGCCTTCGGATGGGCCTAAGTGCTGAAATGTTCAACGGGTAAAAGAATCAAATCACATATTTTTCATGTGTTTCACAGTCTCACTAAAATGTTGGTTTAGATTTAGAAGTAATGATGAAATCTGAGTTTGTGCAAAAAGCAAAGTCAAACAACAAGCTCAAATGAAAACGTTCTATTTCTGTTGATGTTTCGAATTGTACATTCACCTTCCCCTTCGCCACGCTAATTTCTATTAAGAACCTGGGAACAGGAAATATTCTTATCACATAGCAAGGCAGTGCAGGCTTTATTGATTTCCCACGTCTTTGAGACTTTCATTGGGTGCTCATCACGTATACCACGGGCAGGAATTACTGCTAAAAATGTGTACCACAGAATTTGAGTCAACTTCTAAAGGAATTAGATTGACGCTGACAGTTAAGTGGACTCTTGGAACGAGTTGTGGGTTTTGTGTACATGAGAAATCATGCTCACGAAAAAAAAATTTAAAAAAAAAATTACCGCCTCATCAGTAACGTTTCTTCACCACTACTCATGACTTGAATCTCCTCCGCGGTCGCCGAATGTGAAGGACATGTGGGGTACGAACCCACAAACTAATCACCGAACACCCCATAAAAGTTTTGAGTCATCTTAATTGTTTAGTATAAATTTATACATGTTAAAAAACAAAAAGATCGGCATTGTATTTCTCATGCAATACAAATACCACACTTTCTAAAGTTAATTAGCGTTCTGTCTGCATTTATGTATCCAAGAATTCATTCGAAAGCTCATAGATTATCCAACAATTTTGTAACCAAATAATCTTTTCCGAGCCTTTTCAAGATGGCTTGAATCTGAATCAATTTTACTTTGCTTTCTTTGGCTATGAGGTAGCGTAATACAAAATCACTGTTGGTAATTTTGTTTGTGAGGACAGATTGGAGTAATTTTTCGGCCAACGATTCATTTTTTTCGAATAATCCTTCACAACATCCTCTTTTTAAATTTTTTCTCTTTTCTTCAGTGATGTGATAAGTGCGCCAACAAACGACCTGCATTATCCTACAACGCTTTTTTTTATCACCTCTAGCGCTCGAAAAAACATTTCAATTCGGCTGGGTCAGTTTTGCCGAGTAGATACAATATTATCGCTCGACTGATCGGATATCTTCTTATCAACTTCTTTTTCAATAACTCCTTCAACTCAGCACTCAGACCCTCTGGTTTAAAAGCTTTCAATAGTCTTCACATGTATATTACCAAGTCTTTTGCACATGACCATCCAATTGAATTTTTGATTCGAACAATAACTTCCATTTCACTGATCTTATGGTCGGTGTATTCCGCTGATTTTCAGACAGTTTTCAATTGGGGTGGGACCCAAGCTCGCCTAACTTTCAAGCTTGTTGATTACCAATATTCCAAGTCTCCGTCACGCCACTCGGTCCGTGATTGGTTTCAGAAATCTGTACAATACCTTTTATCGGCATCATAAACTAGGGCGTGTTTTGTTTTCTTTCACGACTTCCTTAATCACATGCTTTTTAAATGCTGCCTTCATGCTGGTAATGGAGTCAAAATAGTCTGCCGATACAAACTTTTTTCAAACTCGACACGACAGTCAATCGTTTTTTTAACTATCGTAGTCTATTTAGTTATTGAGCCCCACACAAACAGTAAACACTCCAGTAATATATACGTCACACTATATGTATTTTTTCTGCGCTGGATTATATCATGCAAGACATTAGTGTGTTAGAGCGAAGCACTGATATAATGTTCGAAAAGGATAGACTGATTGTAATATACAAAGCAAATTTTGTAATAGCGACCGATTCGACAAACGAAAATAGTAAAACTATGACATGGATGATGTAATGAAGCACGTTACAGACGATGACCATTAATTAATAAACAGAAATCACACCAAATACAACACAAAAGATAGAAAAACATGTCATGAAATGAGAAAGATGATTTTTTTTATCAAATTTATTATTATGACGTCACATTACAATTTTTGTTACGAGAAATGAGTGATTTTTCATCAAGATAGATAATTAAATGTACTATTTTTGATCACAAAAGCAGGAAAAAGTATACTTATTTTCCTATTATAATATGTATAGGTTAACCAATTTCAAAAAATTCACTTGATTCGCAAAATATATAAATATATACAAATATAAACTCTTAGCCATATATTTTTCCAATATATTGTAGCGCTGTATATTTGGGAACATAAAATTGATTTGCGTGTTCTGGGATCAAAAAAGTCAACTGACAAAAAAGGTTGATAAATTTAGAAATATCATATTAGCTCAGCAAGTGGACATATTTAAAACTGACAGAGAATAATTTTCTAATTCGCCAAGAGTAGGTGGTTCCCAAATATTTCAGGATGACTGGGAACGCAATACCGAATGGGCGTTTACCAATTTAGTTTCATACGTTTTTATTGTAAGCTGCCTACATAGCTCAAAGGTCTAAAAATATCAAAATGATTCTAAGTTCTAGAGTTGTAAAATCTTTTATTGTGCAAAGACACCAAACAGCATATACCACCTCACTTTATGTAATGATCATGTGTTGCCAAGCATGATTCATTATATAGAAAAGACACATAATCGGGCGTGATCTGACGATAAAAGTCTAGACCAATAGCTAGCCATAAAGAAAATTGGGAAAATTCCTTAATGTAATGTTTCACGAAATTTTCACATGGAAGGGGCTTCCTGGTATGTGCTCCTCGCCCCATTTCACAATTAATGTATATTCGCCAGGTTCTTTTGCAGTGTATGTGACTGTGTAGCGCCGATTTCCGATATGTTTCACATAGACTTCTTCGCATGGTGTAAGTGGTCCATGCACTCCGACCAACAGCATATTTGAGCCTAAAATATTGAGAAATTTGTTTGTCAAAGATCGTTCAAAACACAAACTTATTAATAAAAAAAACTGCAAACAGATGGTTCCGAACCAACTGCTGTAGGGTAATATTCGCTCCAAATAAGACTAAGGAAAAACTTTCCAATTAATAGCATACTTTCAAGAATACTTGAAATTTATATTAATGAATATTTAGCCTTTTTAAATAGAAGATTATCAATTTATCCAGAAAAAATCTGGTTTGAAATATTCATTGAGGTAATTTTTTATGAAGAAAAGTCTTACCAGCTAAAGAACAATCGACAGTAAATGTATTGTTGTCTCCGATTATACCTCGTCTCAATCCTTTTCCATATGAATTTACTTGTGTTGCATCAGACTGTTGAAAATAAAATAATGGATATTATTTGTCAGTTCACATTTTATGTTAGTTACTAAAATCATATTTGTACCAAACAAATTTAACAATGCATTTGCTATCTCCTTCTGTAGTCAACAATATATAATATAATATCATATATAATATACAATAATATTTGTATTACATATGGTCGACCAATCATTTACACTTTTGCTCTAGTTTACAAAGCAGTATTGGCCAGAATTTCTTAAACCCAGAGACGGGAGTCAAGGTGAGGCACATACCATTCAAGTCTCAAACCAAAGTCAGACCACCCCAGTGGCGGTTTACTCGATGACTCAGGTCCCAAGTCATTTTATTTATGTGACACAAGTTTCGGTAAATGGTGACTCAAGTCAAGTAAATGATTTATGGCTCCCAAGCATTGCAATGAAGTTACTAAAATACGAGATCACAAGGAGTTCCGGATATCAACCAGGACAAGGCACTGAGGTGAACTTCTAACAAAAAATGATATACAATATTAATATACCTTCATTCTGGGAGACGTAGGTGCACTACCGACACCTTTTACTTCAACGGGGAACGGACTTCCAGGAATATGTTCATCATTGAATTTCACAGATACCTCATAATCACCTGTTAAAATAAAAGTAAAGGATTTGCCAGAAACAAGATCCACATACAGATTACAAGTCATCCTCTGGATTAATTAAATGCATTATTGCTTTTTTTTATATAAAATCCTCTATTTGAGATTACAAGTAACCCCGCAGCTTGTAAGGTAGCTGAATATTATTGTGAGGGAATATCACCAGCATTATAATGGAAACATTCATATATGATTGAATCGCGACTGCTGGAAGTCAGTGAGTAGTATGCTAGGTACATAGCTAATGGGTGAGTAGTATGGCATAATGTGCTTTCAGTAAATCATTATGGGAATCTCCAGACTACTTATATTTTGATGCATTAATCTTTTCTGTTCAATTTTAGGACTAGAATAATACATTTAAAATTAACGATATGCAAAAAAAATATCTTCTTCATAAACTAACTTGTGACATCTTTTGTCAAATTAAAAAGTAATATACTCAATAAATCATAACGTACCAGGTTCAGTAGCGATGTATGAAACACCACATGATCCATCTTTACGATCTTCAAAATTGATTTCTGCTTTCGAAGGACCTTCAACTGCAATGGATAATCCCCCTGCACCAGCTTCACGAGTCCAGATGTTAAAGTCAGCTGTGTATAACAAAACAGACGCTGTTACAATATCTCATTAAAAGTTTTAAAGATGTATATACAAATATTGTGGACAAAATTTGGCTCTTATTATTCATAATATTGGTTTTCTTACACATACTCGCTGAAAAATAAACATGACCCATATCTGAGAAAAGTTACAAGCAAATTCTAAGAGCGTCTGAAACTATATAGACAAATTCCACAAAAATGAAATGCTTGAAAAAATTTTTGCATGAACATTCAAGACTTTCTTGAAAGTACACTAATAGTGAGCTCACAACCAACAGAGAAGAACTGCCGGAAATATTATGAGAATGTTTTGTTATGTCACAATCACTCGAATATCCACAACTTGAGTATTTCAAACTATACTGACCACACCATATATGTGACTTATGATATACTGCCAGTCTTTGGTGCTTTTTTAAAGCCTATAAACATCATACCTGGTATATTAACTTGTGCAGATTCCAATCCAGGACCACCGGCTGTGACTTTGCCAGCTCCACCAGCTCCAAGAGGACCAACTGTAAATTGGAATGGACTTCCTGGTACATGTTCATCGAGATACTTAACACTGACTGTATGGACTCCCATTTCCTGTAAATGACAACAGAACAGGTTTAATAAAGTAAAGCCAGTATTAATAGACCTAGCTTAAAGGCATCACACCACAGTAAATTCAAATTTTGTGAATTTCATTCGAGGTGGATATTTATACATGAAGCTGAGAGAAAGCGTTCACTGTAGCTTCATAATATAAATAGACGTTTAGAATTCCTAGAATCTCTATTATTTCAAAATATTCAATTTTGCATGGGACATTTTGAATTTATTATAAAATAATATCTCCCGTCACAAGTACAACACGCCTATTGAATTCAACCATCCACATTATTTTGCTATACCATGAGACTAGATCTTGTAGAAGTTTATAATATTTGAACTTTTTGCAAGATTCAATCTTAATCGAAATATATTTCTTAATATGGAGGTGGAATACTCCCCCCCCCCAACTTTATGTTGATATATAATTATGTTGTTAACTAATAAAATTATCAATGATTACCAAACCTAATCTTTAGCGTTTTACGTTACCTTGGGGATGAATCGAATACTGTATGTGTTATCTCCACTTTCAAATATTTGAGCCTTTTCTACTTCTCCTGATGGATTTTCTACTGTCGCAGTCAAGTCACGAATATTGGCTTCTGTAATCATGAAAATGAAGATAAATGAATGAAAAACCCATATCACAAATATGCTCCTATTATTCAATTCAATACCGAATTTTCAACCAAGGCTTAACTAAGAAGCCAGTTTCATCTCAGTGGCCAAACAAAACATCAGTCTGAATAGTTAGAGAATGGAAGAAACTCAGAGCGAAGATTATTAGAAAAGTAGGAAAAACAAGAAAGAGAAAGAAGACAGACCTTTCAATTTTCCAGTGTGTTGAAAAGTACCAAAATCAGACCGATGACTAAAGACAGGAACGAAGGATGATGCTTTTTTACCCTGCCCGTCTTCTGCTCCATATGACCTCGATTCCTGCATGACCGTTTGTTGACCGAGGCTACCTACACTAGACTTTGTATAACTTGTATGTTCAGATCTACTATAAGATTGTCGGTACGCAGACGATGAACTTCCCACAGCCACAGTTCCAGATGAAGCACTTTGCCAGTAGTTGTCTGATTTTATAGATGGAAGGAAAGAATGAAAGATAAAGAAGAAAGTGAGAATTTGAAAAAAGAATATTGAATTGCAGGAAAAGATATAAATAAGATAGGTAAGTTATTCGAGTTCCAAACAGTTCGGAACTTGAATTTCAAATACAATTTAGAGGAAACAAGAATTTAATAAAAATTGAATGTACTTACTTGGTATTTTTAAGTTGAGATCACATGAACTGCCAACAGTTGCAATAGATGGTGCTTTCCTGTGTCTAACAATACTTTCCGAGTGTGTTCCTTCACCTATAAAAAATACTTATGAAAGTTATCAAGAATTAAAATGAATGCCTCATAAAATATGAAGGCAAAAATCATTGTTGATGATGAACAGTTCAATAGCATATTCTTGATATTAGGAGGAAGACTGTTTTCATTTTTATCCTGGGGTAAGGTAAACCGGTAAGTGGACTTAATCATATGGTGAATTGCTCATTCGGTTACCAGTCCACGTTGGGCATGGGAATACTTCTTCACCAGTTGTTTCACATGCCAGAGCTTGTTGAAAACCGTAACTAGTCAGCGGTTACGCAAACCATGCTACGACAGTGAGGAGTCCAGCAATCCTCTTGCACTTAATCATTCCCCCGGAACTCAAAGCAGCAAACCAACGCATGATAATCAGAGATGTGATGAGCTGATGGCAAGCATACCTAATGCTTGTCACGATGAGATGTAGTGCAGAAATTATACCTGTACATCTGACGGTAAATGGTGATCCTGGCACATGACTTTCAGCAAATTTGACATTGATACTGTAGTTTCCTGGTTCTTGTGGTGTGTAGGTAACTCTGCAAACTCCATCCTTCTGATCATGACAATCTATATCTACTTTACTTGGACCTTCAATAGACAAACCCAATCCTCCATATCCTGGAAAACAAACATAAATCTCAGTATAATTTGCATTTCATCTCAGAAGGGAAAACAAAAACATGTCTCAAACAACATGATTGGATGACCCAGCACTTTCTTAATGTGAACTGAAAAATTAAACTTGTTGTCCATATGGAAATTCAACAGTCCTCTATGGAACAGAGGCCATTCGAATGGCATATTAGACAATATATTAATCTTTATTTTCAACCGGAATTGAATCCAATTTTGGGACTGACGCTAAGCTAAAATTAGAAGTAAAAACGAGTTCTAATATTCTGTAACATGATATATGGGGCAGCGCAGTGGCCTAGCGATTAAAGTGTCAGACTCGACAGTGTTGGCATCACTGATTCAAATCCAATTTCCCTGCCTCACCCAGGGTGTAATTACTTTTGCCGTTTTGAAAATGATGTGTAATCAACCCTCACCTGCTTGTCGAGTATCAACAAAGAATTCAGCTAATTCGTGAGATCTTGCTCTCTCAATTCCACTACCATATACGAGTACTTTGCTTGCATCACCAATTTCAGATTTTCCGACCATAATTCTGAAAGGACTATTGGCGACATCTCTACCTCGTTTCTTCACATGAACCAAATGTTCACCAACTTCATGAGGTGTGAAAGAAATTCCTGTTCGAAAACAAGATCCATATATTAGAAGCTTATATCAACTAACAAGTGACAGAAACACAACCCAGGTCATTTGTAACATGTACCGGTAACCCCCTTTCAATATCATGAGTCATAAAAATCTCACCAATATGCCCGTTAGGCATGTGTTTGAGTTGACAATCTTCCTCTCTACCACTTGGTGATATGATACTTGCGGTGAGAAGGCTCAAATCCGTTTCGTTAATCTTCAATGCAATGTCACTCATAGCACCATAAACAACTTTTCCAGAGTGTGGTTTTGTACCATCTATGTGAAAAAGACAAGAGACCATTAGGTAATAGTAAATGTATTATTTAATACAAAGTAACAGTAAAACTTACATCACACAATTTCGAACAAATAAAATAGGTTTTTTGAAAAAGTATGTACCTGTGATATTAGCGGTAAATGGACTTCCACGAATGTGTTCATCGTCAAATTTAACAGCAATGCTGTATTCACCGGGAGCAGTTGGTACATAAGAGACTGAGCAAGTTCCGTCTTTGTTATCTACACATTTGATTTCTGCCTTAGAAGGACCTTCAACAGCAAGTGCCAATCCACCTGTGGAAAATCAAAATAGGATAATTAAAAAACAATTGAAAGACGAACGCATTATCATGCTAATATTGCCTACCTGATAGAAATGTTAGAATAAATGAGAAATGTTAAAATAATTTTAATTTTTAGAAAAATTCCTATACACTGGCTCTGGCTGGATGAAATACAGAATGATCAAACAAAAACGGAACCTAGGACATTAGGTCAACTATTCCAGAGAAAACATAACTTTTGTGCAAAGCCTAGATTACTGAAATTTTTGGGTGCAATCATACACAAAAGTTCTAGTGCTAGATAATTTTTTTTTAATTGATAGACTGAGACTAAATACAATACCTTGTCCAGCATCTTTTGTTACAATTGTGAAATTTGCAGGCTTGTTGACTCTTCCTGTTACAAGTCCCGGACCATGAGCAGTTACATGTCCTGGTGCAATAGCATCAACATAGAATTGTACTGGACTTCCTATAAAGAAAATGAAGAGGCGATAATCACAAATTCATGATTTTGTGCAATAACAAAACAAGACATATATAGTCAAAAGTATATAGTTCAAAAACATACCTGGTATGTGTTCTTTGTTGAACAAAATGTCCATCTCATGAAGACCTGATTCCGTTGGTAGATAGCTTATAGACACAGTTCCATCTCCATTATCAATAATTTTCGGTTCAGATGTTTTACCGGATGGCATTCGAACAACACCTATAAAAATGAATAATGAATTAATCATAAATGTCTTTACAAACAAAAACAATAGAATAAAGCAATTTGGAAAATGAAGAAATGAAAAATAAATAAACACAATCAGTAAAACTAGTATTTATGAAATTTAAAATTAGAATTACCAAAATTGTGATCTGTGATTTGATGAATTGTTTTAAAAGAAACAACTAATTTATGAAACTTTTTAAATGTGACTGAATTACAACAAGACAGTGGCATCTGCAAACTTACTTGTTAATTCTCCTGGAGTCTGTGGTACTTCGAACACAAAGTCTACTCCTCGTAATATATCGCTTTCATCCAATGCCTGTGTTTATTAAATAATGTAAATTCATATCAAATATTCATGAAATGATCCATAAATGATTATATAATAAATTTCAATTTATATCGTGACTGAAAAGCCCACACATGCATTTCCAAAGCAACTAAGCACGAATATCTCACATAAAATGCAAAAAGCATAAAATTTAATACAACTTTCCTGGTAAAACATGCATAAACAAGACCCTTCAAAACATTCATCTGCAATTTAATAAATTTAGTACTAAACGATATTGAATGGCACCAGTGTTTAGCTATATGAAATATGGGATGGTTACAAGAGTGGATATTAATATTGACATTAGTATTAGTTCAAAACATGTTATTTTTCTATCAGTTTTATGGATAGTTATATTGATAATATAATATAAATAATGAAAACACACACACATACTGCAGAAAACTACATGATAACCCACATCCATATGTAAGGGATAACAAACTAAATATAAAGTAGTCGAACACCATATTAGGATATTATTGAATGCATATTTTTTCACATCTCTTCAATGTATCCGTATCAGTCATATTTGATAATGGACAACCAAAGCCCTATATCAATAACTCTTAACAATTGACAACACTTATTCAATTTTCCAGATACGTGTGTTGTCTTTACCTGCTCTAAAGCATCTAAACCATTTCCATTCATGTATGCATGAGCTGGTGCAGCATCTACTGCTTCAATCCTATCTTCCTCAATCATGCGTTGTTGTTCTTCAGGCTCATCAACCGCCTTCATCACCAAATGCCAAAACAATGCCAGCAAGCATGTAAGGACATCATGTGAGTGTTTCAACATGCAGGTAAAATACAAGCAAAAATGCAATATAGCATGCCATTAGAACACCATGAATTGATAATAAACAATGGAGAATTCTAAAGAAGTTGACCTAACCACTCTAACATGATAATTGTTTTAACTGTTAACACACAGTTTACTTCGAACGAAGCTAAACTAAAGTGTCATAGGAGATATGACACTACTATATTTAACAACAATAATCTCTAATCTATATATGATGCCAACATGATCAGTGCAAACAACCATTCAATTAAATTTAAAATAACATTTTTTTCTCAATTGTTTTAAAAGTATATCATCCTATATAATTTCCTTTCAAATTATTTTGATAAAAATTTGTAATATATTGCCAAGAATGTAAACATTTCTATAAGCAATACATTTAATTTAAGATAAGAAATGAAAAGAAAGTCTGTTTAAAATAAATAAATCTAATATTATTTTCATATTAACACAGTAATTTTCAAACCCTCTTAATACAACTCAAGGCAAGGTCTTATTCAGTCACAATACCTCTCTACACCTAGTAAACTGTTGTTACCTACAATCCAAATCAAATGATAATATATTACTATGACTATATGTTATAAGAAATATTTATAGTGTTTAATGTTTACCTATCATGTTGATTGTTGTCACAGACCCACCCAGATTTACCAAGCAGAGTATAAAATTAAGGTTGTAAATTTTTTATGGTCAACATAAGTGAATTGTTTTTCCTATTTATTTCCCCATTTTTATGTAAAGGATCAATTCTGAATTCACTGTTATTTTTTAAACTGATTACACGAACCTATTCTATAACCTAAATTCAAATTGATCCAAAATCTGATTTTCTGAAATTTGTGAAGAGTCAGTGTTCCATATTAATGTTCTATTCTACATTATTGTTATTAAATGTTACAGGTTTGAGTACACAACACTTTGTACATGATTATTTTATACGCAACTACCGTATGTTTGAATCACACTTACAAAAAGATTAATACTATATGGCTCCGTTCCAAAAACAATATGAACATTTGACATTGACATAAAAGCTAAGCCTTAACTTGAATGACACCATAAAAAGCAATTCACCAAATTCAGTATCACAAAATGAGGAAGCAAAAATACAAAATATCAAGGGCACATACCTTAACACTGAAAGGACTGTCTGGAATATTTTCTCCACCGAAGCGCAAGTTGATGGCGTATGGTCCAGGCTTGGGTGGTGTGTAAAACACATCGAAAGTTTTATCCTTGTTTTCAACCACTTCAACATCTAACAATCCATCATCAGGTGTATTGATGGAACAATTCACTTTACCAGGACCAGCTTTGCTTGCATCAACAGATATAACTGCCTCCTTGCCAACTGGAACTGTTGGGCCAAGTCCATCACCTAATGAATAATATAGGGATATGAATTGAGGACAGTTATTTGATGTAAACTAGAAATATCTTGGACACAAATTGGATCTATGAATAGTTTTGCTAGGCTGTTGTTTTTGAGAAAAATCAATGGATCATTCAGTATTTTAGTACATAAAGTTGAAAAAGTTGCAAAAAATCTATTATCGGTGGTTTCTCACTTTTTTTTCAAATTTTTTCTACAGGTTCAAGTTCTATGGGGCCCAATATTTCACGCTGAATTGTGCTGGTTGCTAAAATTCGCAGGTATTCACAAAAAGCCTCTAAACATTTTGATAACCATCTGATCATTATATTAGAGTATTGCCTTCTTGTTATTTAAATATAACATTAGTGAGCGCGTAATAAAATTCGGAAACAAACTCAGATTTACAATACATCAACCTCCAGAGAAAAAAAGAGAAGGAAAAGAAAAAAGGGACTAAAGAAATATCGAAAAAGGAGAAATATAGCAAAAGAGAACTTACATCGCTTGCCTCCCACGATCACTTTTGTGATGATTAAAGTTGGAAAGAGAGAAAGAGAAAAGAAATTTAATACAAATGAAGGTAAAGATCAAAATCAAATTTAAAATGAAGAAAGACAGACATACTTAACATGAATATACAATTTTAATATTTTGTAACAGAATTTTAGGTGACAAGCTATGCAGATGTGATTGTCCATATGTCATATAATAAGTAATACTGTCAATGCATACCTGATATCACACATTTGCCTGCTTCACCCATTGGAGTAGCACGGATTCTGTATGGTGAATATGGCACTTCATCACCTCCATATTTGACAGAAATTGTGTATCTGCCAGTCATGTCCGGTACATAAGATACATTGTAAGTTCCATCATTGTTGTCAACAATTTTAGCTTTTTTCGGGTAACCTTCTGGATCCTGTAAAATTATGATATAAATGTTAATAACAGTCCCAAGGCATATAAAACACTATAATATTTGAAAAGGTAGCAGAATTGTTCTCAATTCCAATGAAAGATATGTATTTTATGTTATTGTTGAATTTCATCATGTTAGTCACAAAGTAGAATTTTATGGTAAGTGAATTCTGGTTTACATGGTCATCATCTTTCAAAAGTTTTCCTGTATTTATTCACATACTAGTTTTTCATTATAGTTATAAAATTACATGAAACTAAAACACATCGGCTTGGGCATTCCCTTACTAAGAGTGTATAATTGTTATAAAATGCTTAGATTGACTGTAAAAGAAATTATCCTGGTTTATCCAATAATAATGTCTAGGTCTTTTCACATCATTATGCGAGAACATCACTTCCAGAGAAAACAAATTTGAAACTTGATATAAATATAAAAAGTAGATATAAAAAACTTCGAGAAAGCATTTAATAAGCATTATTACACATAATTATCTGTAAATTACAGTTCTACAAGACAACAAACATGCAATTGCTACAAGGTAGAGAAAACAGATGAAATTGGATTTACATAGAAATTAACGAAAACTAAGCAGCAGGTTTTTAATTATAATTTAACAAACATGCATTTAAAATGTCAATCAAAACGTTTTCTAAATTTATTTTGATTGGAAAAGTAAGCTGAAAATAAGTAACATATTTTGTACTATATTACATAAAACTACAGTAATTTAGCTGCATAATTATTTAGAAGCAAATTAGAAAGCTCTGCAAGAAAAGAAAATAACTACGGAAGCTGAAGAAAAGAAAAGACACAATATTTTAATAATGTATATGGGTGTAGTGGAAAATCGTAGATTCATTGCTCAAAAACTAAACCCACTAAAAGAAAATCACATATTTCATTTCACTGGTAATTGATACCACCCTGATAACTTCAACACTAGTAGCTGCAATTATGTTTATCATTTTTAAAATGTAAGAAATTGAATATCTAACTTTAATTCCCGTTCATTGACAATAGTATCCCCTACCACAGTTCAACAATGCCATCGGAACATTAAACCATACCCCCCTTTAATCTTGTGCTAATCAACAAATAATACAGATTGTGAAGAGATTATTAATGGTATCAAGCCTACCTAATTACAATAATGTTTGAAATAATCTTTTAGTGAAAGTTCCTTAATACCAACTACTTCTGTTGCAACAAAATATTTTAAATGTTCAAAACAACTCCTTGGTTAGGTGAATTTTTTTCCAAATTTGAGCAGGAAACACAGCTTTTTCTACATCTTCATCCACAAACCATATAAGTTTTCCGAAACATAAATTTTGAAAAAAGACTCCATTCTTCATCTTAACTGGTCAGCAAACGAGTCAGATTGGCTATACAATTTGGATGTTTTATATGATATTTTTATGCCCAAGAAAAATGAAATCCCATATTCAATAAAACACAGAAGAAAAGAGAAAAGAGTAAGAAAAGTGCAAACAGCTATCTAGTGAGCAAGATTAGTTAGCCGCACCATCGCGTTATGCATTTTCAAAACAAACATTTGTTTGTTTGTTTAAGTCAATTACCTTCTTCCCTTCCCCATCCTTATCATCGTCATCAGACGAACTCGAGCTTGAGCTATCTTTTCTAGCTTTCTTACTCGAGGGAGCAGCAACTTCACTGACAGTTTTTTCACGTTTTGGATTCTAATAGAACATGCGATACATTGTTCATACATATTTCACACTCTATTTCATGTGGTTTGAGAAGCCAATACAGTATAATTATTAGAAAGTGATGATAAAGTGACTTTTGAAATTCTAATAAAACACGAGTTTTTTCAACTCCCTTAAGTAATCTCTCAAATACTCATTTGACTGAGTACTCACTCAAGAAATATCTCGAATATATACGGAAACACACAACTTTTGTTGCATTACAGGGTAGGGCTTATAAGACACCAGCCACCGGTCGTTAAAAACCAAATTCATACTTTTAAATTTACATTGTTAACATACATTGATATTTTTATAAAAACACCATTTGTGGCCACACCACACACAAAAACAGCTCAGCCTTGATATATAAATGCAAAAAAATGACGATAAAAAAAATGAAATTCAGGAATTTTTAATACATACAAATATTCAAACACTATAAAGCATGCCTGAATTGAACCATAAAAAGGAACTTTTTTATAAACGCTTCAAATTAAAATACTCCCTAAACTAAAATTGTCAAGTTTGTAAATTTTTTTAAGAAAATTGAATTGAGTTTTCCATAATTTTATGAATTTATTGTTCCTCATTTAGCAGTTGAATTGTATACAAATGTGCTTAATCAATCATTAGATTAGTATAAAATGTTGTTGTTTGATCTTCATTTTAATTTTGAATAAAAATTGAGGACAAAAGCATGACAAATGCAAATCCAACTATTTTAAGTTATTTATCATAAGTTCGAAAAAATTATGAATAACTGGGAGGCCCCAGAAACCCCTACTGTTAGCTTGACATTGGTGGAAAGGAACTGTGTGATAGCTGAAAAAGGTTAATGAAGATACCTAAATTGCAGTGTTCATACTAAACTACCGGTAAATTATGGCAGGAAATTTGGTCTGCTTGGATAAAGTCTTATGGTAAATTCAGCCAAGGATGGGGTGATGATAAATCAACTTATTAAGCTTAATTTATTATCACTTCATATTTGGCCAAGTAACACAACTAGATTACTATCAGTAAATAACAAAAATAATCGACAAAACGACGTGCTTTAGTTATTATTCATGCAAATTGATTAAAAGATTTACCGTGATTTGAACAGCAAGTATTCCATCACCAGCTTCTTTCGCATCGATCATGAACTCCACAGGCATTGATGCTGGTACAGTCGATTCCAATCCAGGACCAGAGCAATTCACCTATATATATATATATATAAATCAACATCAAGTTTTGTGAAAAAATTATAAAATAACTTTCCCCAATCAAGTTGTCTGGCGGCATTTCAACAAAAGACGGAATATTAGAAAAACTGTTGAGAGAGAAGGAGGACAAAGGAGGTTTTTTAACTCACTTAATTTGAAGTATTGAAATACTTTGAGCTTTGATTAGAAAACCAGCTTGAAAAGAATCTATAATTTTAAAATATGCCCTTTGGTCTTAAAAACCCGTGTGTTGGCCATTTTCGATAGGAAATGTATCAAATGGCATTAATAGTTGGATGGAAATAAGGTGAATCCAAATCATTGAAAAAAGTTTCTATTATGGATGGCAAACAACAGACACCGCCTTTTGGTCGCGCCCGGAACTAAACATTTATCACAAAGTTATTTTAGGCAGTCTAAGTTGACTAAACGTTTAATATATCGTTTCAAGCACACTACATAAGCATCTCCTCAAGGTCTCCGAGATAAATACATAGAGAAATGAATACCATGAGCCTCACACAATTCTCCAAGTGCGTAAAGTAAATACCTACTGTTAAGGACAAAAAAGAAGATAAGAATCCTATAATGCTTTCAGAATTTCTAAATTAAAACAGGACAATTCTCTCCAATTATGCCTAACTTATTAATTAGTGTCAATTCCATTACCTTGCTTGCATCATGTGTTGGAAGCACTCTCACACGTTGTGGCATATGAGGTACATCTTCCCCTGCGTATTGTACATTCACTTGGTAAAGACCTTCTGCAGTTGGTGTGTATCTTGCAGTGTGTGTTCCATCCCCATTATCAATGACATTAATTGGATCTCTCACACCTGAAAAATTTGTATTTGGGTCATACCATAGTAATCTCCAAGATATTTTGGTCATACTGTGGTAATCTCTAAGAATCTAGAGGATCTGAATTATAACATGTGAGAAATGTTCGATATTTGTAAAAAATACGGGACTACATCGACATGAACTAAAAATTTGCTTGCATTTCTTCATGTTGCATGTTGTTTTGTGCCAAACGAGATACCTTGCAGAATCGATAGTCTAGTGCAGGATTATGCAGTCTTCAATACATGGGGGGGCAGATACCAATAACTGGGTGAAACTGCAGGCAGCACCTTTATTTAACATAGGCTTTCCACTAGTTGTGGGCTACACAACTTTTCCTTGTGGGCCATATTTGGCCCCATGGCCACAGGTTGCACACGCCTGGCCTTAGACTGAACTGTGTTGACATCGCAGCAAAACATCTTAGGTCCAAATTCTATGCCGATCTCCTCAACCAGAGTGTAATAAATTGGAGAGGCATTATTGGCTGTTTGTAGAGAACCTTGTTCCAGCCCAAAGGTGTGAAATAACTGTTGTCTAAAAAACAAAGTCCTCACCTCTCGGTCCTTTTGCTGTTGCTTCCACGGGGGCAATTCCAGCCTTGCTTGCATCAATAAGAAATTCTTGAGGAATGTTCTTCCTAACCCCTGGTGATAGTCCAGGACCAGTGCAGACAACCTAAATCAAGATTATCATAATTTAAGTTGAGGTGAGTGTACATGTATGTACCACTACTTTGGGAAACAATTTATTTCAACTTTGTACAACTCAATCCATATCTTATGTTCTCAATGCTCACAGAATATAAGAGATACATATTATGATGAAAATTTTTTTTTTTTCTATGTTACAATTTCCCACAAAACCAGATTTAGGGGAAATTCCCCCCAAAAAATATTGTCATTTTCCTCCAGTTTTGAGACAGAACCAATTGAAAAACAATAATGACAAGACAGCAATAAAAATTGCGGTTCACACTTCACAGTAAAATTCAACATGTATTCAGCTTGTCATCAAAATTTACATTCCATATTTCACTTCAAATTTGTAAAAATTTTCAATTATAACTTGATACTGTGTTCAGAAAATATGGAATATTAATCAATATATAAGTAATAGCCTTCTAAAAGAGACTTTTTTGTCTTCAAAACATTTCAATTTCCAAGAAAAATGATCAGTTGTCGAAAAACAGTTTAGTAGTAAAAACAATTTAGCAATTCGGTATACTTCGTCCCAACTAGTAACGGTCATTGCAGATCTTACCTTTGTAGGATCAACCTTATCTTTAATTGGAACAACAAATGGACATCCGGGAATGGCATCACCACCATATGTAATATTGACTTCATATTGTCCAGCTTCTGTTGGCAAATATTCAACTTGACATGTCCCATCTTTACCATCCTGTAAATAGGTGAATTTTTTAATTTTTTTGTTTGTAATTACTTGGGTCTCAACAGTTTTATAAACCGTGGGTCAGAGAAGGGTAAGGTACTATTATGAAATCATGAATAACTGAACATCATGTTCTGCAGCACCAATTGAATTCATGTTATAAAAGTTAACATTTAAAATATAATTTTACATATTTATTATGATGAAAAGACAAAATAAAAATATTCACAGGTAAGCCATATCCCACTCCTTTTTAAGATAAAAAAAAACAATGAAACATACGGTGCAAGTGACTTTAGCATCAGATGGTCCTTCAACTTCCAATGCAAGGCCACCAGTTCCAGCTCCTCTTGTATCTACGGTAAACTTGGCAGGTTCTTCAGTGGTTCCACTTATCAATCCAGGACCATATGCCTTGACTTTACTGGCATCACAGCCTTCTTCAACATTAACAGGGAAGGGTGACCCTGGTACTTCACAACCATCATAGTCGACCAGGATTTCACAGGGACCTTTATTATAGAGGAAAATTATAATAGGATCAAGTATGTTGTGAACAAAATATTAATCCATTTCAAGAAACGTACTTTATATGACAGCTTTTAGAATTTGATATAAAATGATCAAATCTAATAAAATTAACGTACAAGAGCAATTAGCTACATTTTTGAAAATATTTATCAAATTTAATTCCGTTAATGCTATAATCTCTCAAAACTGGGAAATATTTATAATTAAAAAAGGTCCCTCTCCAGTTTAAAGTGAAACGCTTGAGTCAGGACATTAAACTGAAAAACGATTTCAAATATTTTATTACCTTGTTCAAATGGACAATATTTAGCTTCATAAGTTCCATCACCATTATCTGTTACATCAATAGGTAATGTTTCACCAGATGGCATAACAGCCTTAGCATTAATATGATCTCCACCCCTCGGAGCAAGTCGTTTTGCATCAACAGTGAAACTGGTGTCCACATCAGTCAAAACTCCTATGAATAAAAAATTTAGGTTGAGAAGTCACTGCACTGTAACACATATATTTTTCTGTGAAGTCTCTCATATTTCTCCTAATTACAGGCGCTAGCCCGCTAGACAAGCAATCCTGCCTACCTAAATTTCTTCTGAATCCGTATGACGACAAGTTAAAATCTAGGGTCCAAGGGCCCATTCCTCACCTAGGATGCAAAAAAATGGGTCGGCAATGCCGAATCGGAAATATTCAGTTAGCTCTTCCTTGCAATGACAATGACTTGAAGTATATTATAATATTATAAATTGAGATACCTGATTTTTCAACTCCAGGTCCATAAGTCTTAACACTGCTGGTATCGATATCGGGTGTGATATGAACCTTCTTGGGAGTTCCTGGAATGTCATCACCTCCATATTTAACAGCCACGGTCGCATCACCAGGTTTATTTGGCACAAATGATACACTAGAAATTGTTTTAATTTAAATTTTAAAATGAGTATTTCAAATTTCATATTTATACCTTTACTAAGTTTAACTAAAATTCTTTTTTCAATTTTAAATTATAATATTCTAACTGGTTTTGTTACCAGAATGTGGCAATATTCACATTCCAATGTGTCATAAAGATAATTTATCATAATAAGATACAACACTAATTTAAACAATTTAGTGCAGATTAGTAACTCTCTGTGGAGTTTACAGTCATTCAAATTTATTTAACATAATACCACTGGTAAATAAATCATTACACCATAAAAAATGTTACACGACCTTTAACAATATTAAAGTCCGATAAAAACAACACTAAAGTAACTTTCCGTGAAAATAAAAGTCAATTAAATTTATTGGAACATAATACCACTGAAAACAATTCATCAGACTATAAAAAAGGTTTCGCCTCTTTAAAGGTATTAAAGTCAGATAAAAACAAAACTAAACAGTAAAAATATTGAAAAAATCCTACTCATGAGTTCCATCTCCATTATCGTGAACTCTGACACCAGGAACTTTGGATCCATCTTCATTAACAACCTGCACTTCAACAGGGGCTTCACCAGCATCAGATGCATCCACGACAAAAGCAGATTTCTTGCCAACTTTGCCGTTTTCGAGTCCTTTGCCTTTTGCTCGTACTTTTGATGAATCGAAAGCCGGCTCAATTTCGGCTATAAAAATAGACGGAATGGAATGATAAATATGTTTGGTATGATTATGAGTAAACCACAAATGAATAATTGTATGCAAATATTGTGATAAAAGCAAATAACAATGGAATTATTACCTCAATGACATAATTCAGAACCATTATTGAATGAAATACAAGAAAGCCAACTATTATGAGCTAAGTTTTTTTGATAATAGGAAAATTTTTATATTGAACATTCTTTGCTTGTGTTCAGGAACGGCAGATAAACAGATTGACAATAATACATAATCCAAAATTTTTTGTATACATTTTTTTCATAACTTTAACTCTAGCGAGGCACTCTAAAAGAAGCAATGATATGTAAGAAGTTACCATTTCTAAAAGTACCTAAAGCTTTCTGATTAAGCACTATCTACCCAATTTATAACCCCATGAATGAGGTAGTTGGTGGTCATGGGATTCAACCCCACACTCTACAAAAACACGCATAATCTTTTCATGAACTCACCTTTAAATGGTGATCCTGGAATATGTTCTTCAGCAAATAACACATTGATTTTATAATCACCAGCTTCCAGTGGTAAGTAAGATACTGAACAGGTTCCATCACCATTATCCACGCATTCAATCTTTGATTTTGAAGGTCCTTCCACAGTCAAACCAAGGGCACCATTTCCTGTGAAAAAAGAAAATACCAGTAAACATATTGCCTTTTATTTTCTTCATTTACATTAACCCTAACCGGTACAAGGCCCTAGTGGCCACTTCTATCAAAGGAGCTTCTATTATTTGGAAAGAAATAGAATTTTGTTTGTTTGTAACACAGTTTGAGTTTCTAAACCGATTCGTCGCCCCATACCGACTCCACTACGAATGTGATGTGTGTGGTACAAAACATTCTCAAAGTCTCCAGTTCCATTTACTCTACTATGCATTACATTTTCAAACAACAAATGATGGTGTAATCAATACTGCTACGAGACCCAATACACCATTTCTAATTTTACATCATTTTAATTTTCCAATCTTACCAGCCTCTGTAGTATCAATTGTAAATTGTGCAGGTTGATCCACAATTCCATGTTTCAATCCAGGTCCATAAGCTTTCACTTTGCCTGCATCTGCAGGTTTGAGAGCCTCAACAACAAATGGGCTTCCTGGGACAGGTTCACCGTCATAAGTAACATCAAGGCGATGTGGACCTTCTTCTTTGGGAGTAAAAGTGCATTTCGATTCATCTGGAGAGTTTCTCACTCTGACTGGTACAGGCCTCTTGTCTGGTCCAACCATGGCGACATCCAAAATTCCCTTTCCACCTGCACCATCAGTTTCAACAGTGAAACTTTCAGGTCTGCCAACCTCGATTTCTGTATAAAACAAGAATTGATCATGCATGTCCCTTCAAAATTTTCAACATACAAAAAAATCAATCAAATACTTACGTTCTGGAAGACCCTTGACGCGTACTTGTCCGACATCAAGTTCTGGAGCAACATTGACATGGAAAGGACTTTTTGGAATTTCATCTCCTCCATAGGTTACCTCGACATCCATTGGTCCTTGTCCGTCCGGTGTGTATTTTACAGTATATGTAGAATCCTAGAAGCAATTGAGAAAAATGATAATAAGATAAAATTTTCAGTTATTCCTGGTAGAGGAAAGATAATAGGATGGCTTAATTATATGGTGAACCTTAACTCATTATCAGCTCATGTCGAATATGGAAATATTTAATCGGGTATTTATTTCAGATGCATGGACTTGACGATAGAGAAAGCCATGACTAATCAGCAGTTACGTGAACCACCCTGTGACAGTGAGCGGTCCAGCCATCCACTCGCACATATTCATTCCCGACAGGTTTCAAACTTGCGAATCTGCACAAAATAATCAAGATATGATGACAAGCATATTTCTTACGCCTATCATAATGCGCCAACCACCTAAATAACTGCTTTGATATGAGAATGCCTATTAATAATACAATAAACATATTCTGACATACCCCATTATCTATAATCTCTGGTTTTGCTGCGACAGCATGTTGGTTTTTGGGCCTGAATTTAACATCTGGTTTGGCTTTTCCTGCACCTCTAGTATGAATTGTGAAATGGGTTGGTTTTCCACTTTCAACACCTGTAAGAAATTGTAAAGATGAGATTCACATAATGTCATAATTACAGTGTGACTAAAAAAACTGAACCCAGACTATTTGGAACATATTCTAGAGATATCATTTGTGCAAAGCGTCCTAGATTACTGTAACTTGTGGATCACAATCATACACAAACAGAAGATAACTTTTCAGGTTAATTAAATAAATTCTCCTCACTTTCATAGCATGATAAATTTATGGGTTCTATTTTTAGGGGTTACCCCGTACATTATCACAGTAATTAACAAATACATAAATATTACAATATAGAAAATTCAGTTTAATTGATGAAATTGTAATTAGAATAGTGTGAAAGAAAAATCACATATTGAGTTCAATCCAAGAATTACTTACCATCTTTTTCCAATCCAGGTCCATCTGCTCGTACTTTTCTTGCATTATGATTTGATGCAACTTGCACATTGATTGGGCTATCTGGGATTTCAACATCAGCGAACAACACCATGATTGTGTATTTACCTAAAACAGGTGGACAATCGGGTTAAATAACTTCCATGATTGACTTTGAATAAATTTAGCTATCACCAGGGATTACCATAATCAAATATTCCACTATTCTATTGAATCGATTCGATCCATACAGGATATTCCTGATCATAATCCTTTGAATACTCGAAACCAAAAAATGTATAATCTTTCATGAAAGGCAATCTTCGAAATTTCTTAAGAAATATATTTCTTTATATTGAAGTATTTCACAAACCTGCAACTGGTGGTGTATATTTCACAGTAAAAGTATCATTATCGTTTTTGATTATATCAAAAGCAATGTCGGATTCAGGTTGTGATGGAGTAAGTCCTGGTGTGCATTTCAATCCAATACTGATGTCACCAGATCCAGCTTTACTGCAATCAACAGTGAAATAAGTTGGCTCTTCTGCTTTCAATCCAGGTTTAACTCCTGGTCCATAAACACTCACACGATCTGGGTGAGAATCTTCTTGCACCAAAACCTATGTTAAATAATTTTATTAAAATGATTTTGTTGCTGATATATGAAAGAGCAGAATAAAAAATAAAAAAATAAAGTTTATTTTACAGTATGTATAAAATGGCAAATTCCGACAAAAAAAAGGAATAAAAACAAGAAAAAAGAAAACTAAATTGGGTCTCACAGTTAGTCAGATAAGTTCAAGTCAGAGCCATTTTGTTTAGATGGGTTTAACTCGAATCAACCAATCAGACATGGTTAAATATGAAATTTTATTCTAATTAAAGAAATAGTAGTAATTGCGTTGAATATGTAATCCTTTGCTTACTGATAGTTCTATAATAAAAATCTCTAAGGGAAAGACTGACTATTCGATCTTACTCTGAAAGGACTATTTTTTACTGCAATGCCATCATAAGTAGGTATGATTGTGTGTTTTTGTGCAGCACGAGGAGTGTATCTGCATGTGTATGTGCCATCTCCATTATCTTGCACATCTACTGGTACTTCTTCACCATTAGCAGTCACAATTGAATTGGTGATTGGAGCAGGTCTTCCAGCAGATCTGGCATCTATGGTGTATTCTGTTGGTCGCCCAGCAACAGGGCCATTTTCTTCTAAACCAGGTCCATAAGCTTTCACCTGATAACAAAAAATTCACTCAGTTTAGCATGTAGCATGTTTCAATTTGTGAGATTAATGTGTTTGCAGCAATTGTTGTAAACAAGGTTTTCAATTAGTATCTTCTTAGTAAGCTATGAAATTAAAAAAGGGTGAGAATAATTCAAAAATAACTTCTCTGATTTAAATCCCACGACCACATACCATTGAGTAGGCAATGTCGTACTAGAAAGCTTCTGGTTTTCTAAAGCTATGATAGCTCCTCACCTAGTTGTGGATGCTTGTGTCAGTCGAAAGGTGTTCAAATACATCATACAATAAAACTACAATTAAAAAACAAAATTAAATTCCGTTTTACCTTATCTGGGAAGGTTTTGTGATCATCTGGTTCAATTTGTGCCATGAATGGTGAATGTTTGATGTCTTCATCATCACAGAGCACATGAACTGCATATTCACCAGCTTCTAATGGAAAGTATCTTACATCACATGATCCATCACCTTTGTCATCACATTCAATACGTGCTTGAGATGGTCCTTCAATTGAAAATCCTGAAATAGGAATAATAAAAAAATATTGAAATTGTAAAGATTTCAGGAAACTCTGCTGAATCTATAGTAAATGAGGTTTCAATTTGTGGTCACAGTAGGCTGGTGGTTGAAGCATTGAACTTCACTTTATTGACATCTCAGATAACGCAACTCGGGTTAAAATACCCAAGGCCACCCACCAGATGTAAAAAATAAGCTAGGCAACGCCAACCTTGAACCTTCCAAAAATAGTATTTTTGACGTGTCGTAGAATAGTGTAGCTAGTGTAAAAGGCACTAATAGGTGTCATATAAATATTTATAATCTATTCGTAAGACTTCATCATGTTGGTTTCAAAATTTGTGAGATCTTGGATCAAATTACTGTCATGCCTGCGGTTAAAGCAACCCCGCAATCTGGCCCACAGTGTGAGGAGAGGAGTGATCAGAATATCCAGAAACTAGAAACAATTGATCCTTTTGAACATTTTTACTATATACTCTGCCCAACAGCCTTAAAAATACATATTTTGAAAAAAAATTATGTCTGAGATGACATGCTAATTGGAAATGATAACATACCAAGTTGTCCTACTTCACTTCCTGTCGTCTCAACAACAAAATCTGCAGAATGTCCAACTTTACCACCATGAAGACCTGGTCCATAAGCACGAACTTTCTGTGGTCCGGCCTCTTTGCCAACAGCAACCTACAAATGGAAACAATCGAAAATGAGGAACGAATGGTTTAGAAATATTGCCATTTAATGTAAGATAGAATTTCCATATTTATCCCAGAAAAAGAAAAGTCAATAAAATGGCGAGTCACGGTTTGCCGTCCGGTTATAGGTCCATTTCCGGTACGGGAATAGTCAACCAGGAATTTGTTTCTGATGCATGGACTTGATGCTGGAGGAAGAAGTTAAGGAAATTTGAAAAGCTAATTTTATCATATCACAAGCACAGCTTTATAGGAATTAACAATTAATTTCGAAATTTTCATTTCCTTCAAACTGGTAACATCAAAGATAGGAGTAAGACACAATGTAAACTAAAATCACCTTGAAAGGACTCTTTGGGATTGGTTTATTACCAAAGTTGACATCCACAGTATATTCTCCATTCTTGAGAGGGTAGTACTCACAATCATAAATATCTGGATCTTGTGGATTCCTCTTTACTGTGACAGGTTCAGAGTGACCTCCTAAAATAATAGAGTAACTTGTTAGGTGTTGAAAAGAATGATGTTGGTATTTAAATAGTAAGGTATTCTTGAATTTTTAAAATGGGTTAGATGGAACTATCTTGTATTCAAATCAAGATATCATATTTTATGGGATAAAAAAACATATTATTAACACAAAATATGATTTTACTAAAAAAATTGCAAATTTTGTTACAATAGAAAACTATGTATATTCATGTAATCTTGATCAGACTTGATCAAGCATATAAGTCAACCTTGATAAAACAAAGTAGGTCAGTTATTCGGCTGTCTAGGCACAGTGTATTTGAATCTTTAAAGCACCAAAAGCAAACTATAGGAATTCATACAATTACATACTTGGGCCTTTTACATGGACCTGCAGCTCAGCATCACCAGCGCCTTTTGTTGTAACATGAAATTCTGCTTTCTCTCGCATTCGCACACCTTTTGGTTGTATTCCACGTCCATATGCTCGGCATGCACTTGCATTTGAAGCTGCATAATAAAATTTGAATGAGTGTGTTTCGTATGTTGAACAGTAACACTGCCTTATATAATATGAATTATTGATAGAATTTAATAGGAAACTATTGTTTAGAATTTGGTAGCAAAGAAGTAGGCCTACTTGTGGATTCATGAAATAGCTTTCCACTTTTCTCTTAATAAAAGCCTAAAAAGCTATATATTCTTAACAAAATTAAAACGAATGTATATAAGATCCCACATTAGTTATGAATGAGAGAGCTATTGAAGAATTTAAATAAAATATCCTGTTAAACAATATATCATATTTTCTGAAAGTTGGTTCTCAAATAAATTTCGGTGCTCCCGAAGTATGTGAACCAAGATGGCGGACATCGGAACGTAACATGGGTAACAGGTTAGGGTTAGGCGATAATTTTTTTCCAATTTTCCTTATTTTAGTCCTATTATCAGTTCGAAGACTAGCCAAGAGCCTCCCGTAGTATTTATACCTAAAATTGTGGCCTAACCCTAACCTAGTACACTATTACATTCCGATGTCCGCCATCTTGGTTCGCATACTTCGGGAGCCCCTAAATTTCATTATAATATTCTGACATCTATGACTAAAAAATCCATAGTTTATATAATAGTATAACAAGTAACAGCTGACTTGAATCAAAGGTAATTCTAATATAATACCATCTCTCTTGTACATCAATTTTGCAAGCATCAGCCCAGACAGCATGATTACCATATTTATACTACACTTAATTCAAATTTGAAGCTAATGAACTATTTTAAAAACATAAAAATTTATTAAAATACAATTTACAGCCCTTTAATTTCATTTCAAAGGTTGACATTGAACCTCTCTGCCCTTGATTTTTAGGGACAATCTATTATCAAAGCTGTTTCAATTGTAATTTATAAATTCTGAAAAGTCAATCTTCTGCTGTCACTGCAATTATAGGATACTTAATAATTTTGTGCAGCATATGATAATAATATAATGATTAGTTGTTTTCAAATTCGATTCATAGAGTGATTAAATTTTAGTAAAGTATTAAACTTAGTAATGATAACAGAATTGGTAATGGCCTACATTTTTAATCATACCGATGAAACATAGGTTACGGTCAAAATTTAACTATAAATATTCAAAATATTAGCAATATACCATTTTACATTTTTTTGTGAATAAAAGATAGCTGCATAAACTTATTATTAAAACTATGAGAACCATTTTAATACACTACAGGATAATGTAAAAAAACAAGAGTAATAAATTTCTCAAATACAACGAAAATTAATATCACAATTGAAGTTGTTTGTCCATTGTTTGATTGGTTTACAAAAGTTTTTGTAACACTTTCCACAAAGATATGTTCTCTCTAGAATACGTTCCAAATGATTTTTTTTTTTTTTTCAAGGTCATCCTGTATTTACTACCAATTACAAAATTATGAAAAAAGATGAGCTCATCAGATCATTATTGATTAAAATAAAATATTAACGAAATGATTGTGACAAATTCCATGGCATAGAAAATAACCAACCTGGGACAATATCCACTCTGAATGGACTTTTTGGCACATGATCTCCTGCAAATTTAACTTCTATTTTGTGAGTACCCTTCTCCCTTGGAGTGTAGGTACATCTCCATACATTGTTAGGACGACTTTCAATGTCTACTTGTACAGTCCTTGGGTTGCCATCTGGATCATAAACTACTGCCTCCACGTCCCCATTCCCGGCATCTAAAAAGAATAAACACTGTTCAGCAAAATTCTTCTGTAAGTGCGGTGTAATGATTAAATGTCAACATGCAATATGAATTTATGCTATCTAGTTGGTATATCTGAGGGCTAACTTAATTATTTATATTCTTCTATGCTTTTGCACTGCTAGATCGGTATGCATAACACGAGTGAAGACAACTATTCTAAGTAATATAGGAGTTTTGTTGCACTTAAACATGTATTTTCACCGAAAGGTGGAATATATACTTATCAAAAAGATACACTGAAACTATTGTCCCGTCTACATAAGCAAAAACAATGCTTAAATCAACTCGTTTTTACCTGTTGCAATAACTTCAAAATATGTGGGTTGCCCAACAACATTTCCAGTTTCAATACCAGGTCCGCGTACTTTTACTTTACTGGGATCAGCTGGTACTGATACATTCACCTGAGGAAATAAGTATAAACCATAAATTCAAGTCAAGTCATATTTCATAAAAATTAGACTACCTAAAACTGTCCTATTGTGAGATTGTTTCTACCCTAGACAAAGCTATATTGGACAAACACTGTGTAGGAGTTAATAGTGATGATTTCCAATTATATTCAATTATAACAAATTTATTAGTAGTGACTTGCGCTAACGCATTTTTGGAGCCGTCATAGCCTGTGATTCATCAGGGATTAGACGCTCAAGTATTGTGAATAATGATTTCACAATCTCTAATTATAGAGAAGTGTCCCAAAGGCGATATTATACAACAAAGTAAGAAGATATTAGAACATTACATATCCCGTGAATAAGAAGGGTCAGACCAGGTGTTTCCTTCCCTTTATTTATGTGCTAAGTGACAGAGGTAGATTTTGATTTTGGGACGGCGATGCGTCACTTCCGCGAGTCATACCCCTTTCATTCAGAACCCAAAAGTCGAGCTCAGAGTATCATGTTGTTTTTATTTCCTCTTTGGGAAAAGGTTGAGCGGAAGTGTATACATCTGATGGAAACGAAATATTGTTCAATGTTTAATACATACTGCGTGTGTTAATCTGGAGACAAGCCACAAAAAATACAGGATATCGGTATCCTGCCAACCATGAATCAAATATAAAACGCCAAATTGACAGTGCATTTATTATTAAACTAGTCATTGTGATCAACTTTTATGAATCGCGACGATGTCGATTTTCCACAATTCAACGGTATTACGTTGCGATGATCGTATTATCTCGACATGGTGTCTGTGCATGAACCAAGAATAATTTTCTCAGCAGCATATTATGCAGCGATGTTATCCACGCCTTAGCGCGTAGCACATGCCACAGTATTGTGTCATAAAAATATCGGTGACGACGACGCAAGCAAGCATCATCGACAAATTTGGAGTCTGGGAAGCCTCGATTGCCATTTCGTTCACAAACACTGCGAACCGCTGATATATAAAGCGCAGGAAAGATCACGTACGCAACAGCGACCTGAAATTCATTCAGTATAGTTGAATGAATAGGACTCATTAAACGCGAATAACGATAAATACGGTTCATTTCATTGAGGAAGTTTCAAGAGTGCCAGCAAGCGATTCATTTGACGTTTTTGAAACCCCTGTATTTCAAAGGGTGGGAAGTATGAAGGTTACGTAATAACCGGTTGTATTTTCAGAGGGTTTCCGTCATTACGGTGTTTGTTTCACTTGGCGTATTCGATTCCCCAAAATTGCAAAATGTGTAATTCTAATTTACTGAATACAATTTTTGGCAAAAATATTCTCCCTTTTACTTAAAACTTCTTTCAGTACAGGAATGTTTTCCTCGCAAGTTTCAAGCATCGTCATAATCGTAACCCATGCACGCACGCATGCGCGCACCTGTGTGTGCGCCGTAGAGAGCGAGTGACGAACGAGCTACGAAAAGAAGACTCGTAGTCTTGCGGAATCAGACATGCCCTTATATGGCGAGCCGGCACGATTAAGCGCGTTATTTCAGGCAAAACACGAGAAAATGGATTGTGATAATGATGCCATAGGAGGTTAACTAAGTATGCTATGCGGTAAAAGTGTTTTAGGTAAATGTTTCGAGTTGTCATGACGGAATACATTCCTTTATTTTGCCCCATTGAGACCAAATTGCTAGTTTTTCATTTTTTAATCAAACAACAATTAGGGTTATTCAACAAAGAATCAATATATTACAATTAAAATATAATTCTGCCTTAATTGAATTCATTGAAAATAAACGGCTCAAAAAATAAGTCAATGGTATCCTGAATACTGAATGTTCCTGCAATTTTAGGAAAATACCCTATAAATAAATCATATTTAAGTATTGGTGTTTTCAATTGCATTTTCGTTAATGCCAAGTATGTAACAAAGATTTTGTTCATTATGCTTTTTTACCTTGCGAGGTAAACGAAACACATCACAAAGTAAAGAATAGCAAACATAATGGTGCATTCTGAACCAATTTGAAGTCAAAAATTATTAAAAGGAATTCTGCAGTAACAGTTTCCAACATGTTCAAAACGAAGGTGTTTACGCATAAAACACGAGGTACAGATACCATAGAATAAATCCTATCTAATTTGAAACGGTACGCTATTATTATACGATTAGTTACGATTATTATACGAAAGGACAGTATGCGAAATCGAATACTCCTTTCTCAAAAACGTAAATCAGCAAAACCAGCAAAAGAATTCAGACACAGACGGACAATAACAGGTTAGATAAAGACCGTCTGTGATTACGTCATTTTATTGGGTCTCTTTTTGAATTCTATTGTACGAAATTACTCGGGAACTATATACGGATGACCATTATTCCAAACGTAAGAAAACCCTCCAAAAGTGCGTAATCAAATTGAGAAAGGGGACTGTACTACCCACATTGATACAACGAGAAGGTAAGTTGTGATACTACAGATACACGTTGAAAACAATTTGAATAAATTTGAAGCGCTAGTCACAAATTTTTAAATCATACAAAATTGTTGGTAGTTGGGCAGCATTTTGTTAACAAGTACTTTTAGTGCGAGTTTTATTCGCACCATACCATAACATGTATATTATCAACATCTTGGTAAAAGAGAGTGCATATGATACACCGATTTTAATGATCTCGGAATATTAAACCTTTGACTTGCTGCCTTTTGGCCATATAGCTGACGTAAACGACACAAAAAATTAACAATTGATCACAAGTAGCGACCTCAGACGGGTTCAACTTACCCTGAATGGACTGTCTGGTACTGGTTTGCTTGCGTATGTGATAGAAACAACGTATTGCCCTGGTTTGCTGGGTAGATATTGACAAGTGTATGTTCCATCGTGGTTGTCGTCGATGTTGAGCGGTTCGTTAACTCCACCTAAAAATGACGTCAATATTACGTCAGAATTGTTCTTATCAAGCATGATACTTAATTAAATATCATCTAAATGAGACATTTAGCAATGGAACATGTTTGGTGAAATGTTAGCACGAACAACTCCCGATTTGGTCAAATAACATAACAAAACACAAAACGACAAAATTTGCACGGTAACGATTTTGCGGTATTTGAACAACCTTTGTTATGGGATCAGGATTACAGTACAGAACAAACTACAAATTTGTTTAACATTAAACTTTAAAATTGTCATGACTGGTCATGTATGGTCACAATTAGACACTCGTCCGACTCTGCGTCTCAAAATAGATTGAAGAGGATTTAGCTTTAAGCTAAAATATAACCTCCAGGTCTAAATCCTTCAGGATTATAGATAACTAGGGGGTGTTGTTGTATTGAAGCAGTTTTCTATGTATACAAAAAATCCAACGACTTACGGGGTCCTACAATTTTAACAGCTAATTGCCCTTCCCCAGCTTTCTCTGTATGTACGGTGAAATAGGTCTTCTGTCGTAAGACGACACCGTCGGGTTGGATTCCAGGTCCATCAACCCAAACTGCACCAGGATTAAGCGCTAAAATAAAAACATAAATAAAATATTTCTTCAGAGATTCGACTACTAATGTAATATGCTTTCTAAAACAGTTATAAGATAGCGCATTCCTTTCCGAAATTTGCGTGGGAAACCCATTGTGACGAAGTAAAAATGCAATAAAAATAAAAAACATTATCCTACGCAATCACACTTTAAATTTAATGAGTTTAAAACAACAAAATTGCTTCGGTGTAACGACTCTCGCTAAATTGCGCCAATATAAAACCGCTAGCCGAGCCGCTCGTGCCGGGAGCGTTTTGCGAACTATAGACGCAGTCAGTGAGGTGAGTGCACACCACTTAACCACGTACAAACGAGAAGGAGACTATTGAAAAATTTGTAAATTCCACGTTTTACGTAATTTATAATAATTTCGAAATAAAATCCGATTAAAACATTGTTTGTGCACCCATCTCGAAAATACAATCTAGATCTAATAAAAAATACTATAAAATTGAACCAGTTGGATTGACTGTAAAATACCAGTAATTATACAAATATTCAAGTGCGTGGACTTGAAAATACCAAGATTGAGTAAACGAACAACACTTCTAGTTGTAAGTTTTCAAGTACGGATTACCATACGAATATTCATTGTTATTTAAGAAGGTAAGACTACGCATCATACATTCCATTCATGTAAGCCAGGTCTGATTAAACTGAGTAATCGCTGAAGGTACAACTCAGTACAAGTGAAGATTGCAACATAGTAAGCAGATACACAAAGCCCAAACAGACAAGATTGAAATTATTCAGAAATGCTGGTGTATTTTACAATTTAATTAACTATTCCCAAACTGTCCTAAATACCGATGTAAGTGAACACATATTTTGTTCCCAAAGTCAACACAAAATTCCAATTTGAAAGATAACGGTGGAGTCATGTTATGTACGGCCCAAGAATATTTCGATCAATCAAACACAACCAGGCATGATCCGTAATTGTTGTGGATAAATTCACCTATCCCTACTTTTTAGACAAATATTGCCAATGAACATTACAGGCAAGTAGGCGCTCGCTTGCAAAGCTAAAGATAAAGAATATGTCCATTAGCGTCCAAAAATCGCACCAGAAACAGTACCATTTACAATTTTCAAATCATGGTATATCATTTTTCAAGCTCAGTTATGGCAAAAGAATTAAACTGTTTCAACAATACTCACGCAATGATATATGGACATGGTATGGACTCTTTGGGATGGGGTGATCGGCAAAATCGATGTGTATTTCGTGATTTCCTGCACTCCGTGGGGTGTATTTCACCCTGTAAACATATTCATCAATTTGTGAGATTTCCGGGCGAAGTTTCCCCTCAGGTTCGATAATGTTGACCCCTACGTTTCCGATTCCGGCGCCTGTAAAGGAAGAATAATGTTATTTGGATTGTGGAGAGAGGAAGCCAGCTGGCGTTTGATATCGGTTTTCAAGATTTCGGTTCTAATCTTCAAGACCGCTTTTCGTTTTACTTGAAGTAGTAGTAAAATTTATCCAACTTCCGAAACAACAGTTCAACTCCATTTAAAGCAACATTTTCTTTTAAAGTACTATATTCTGTTAGAAGTAACAAATCATCCAATTCCAAACTTCCTGTGGTCAATGGGGTATGATATACGACTAAAAATTATTTTCAAAACAGAAGGGGAATCCAGGTGAAAAAATAGGAAGCCTACTGCTATTTGATTTATTATAAGCACCTAAATACTCATTGATAGCTGAAATTGAGTTCCAAATTTCGATCCCAAATTGGAAATATTATTCGTGCCTGGCGGTACAATTTTACCAATTCAAATAATAGTCTTATTTTTTTACAAATATCCAATTACCTTCTGTGAAAACGTCGAAATACGTTTCCTTTCCTACAATATTTCCATTTTGCAGTCCAGGTCCTTTGGCATGCACCTTGCTTGAGTCGACTGGTGTATCGTCGACATTTACCAAAAATGGACTTTTGTGAATGTCTTGGCCAGCAAAAAGTACAGTGACCTGAAAATGTAAAGAAATTGAATTTTAAAGTAAGTATTTTCAAGCTGGAATCTGGGATATATCCATCAATATTAACAAAGGAGCGTAAAATAATTGAACATGAAATTTAAACAAAACAATGGCGCCTAATTTGTTGCTACCGAAGCCTGAGGCAAAATTAGAATAGCTGATGGCGGTGTTGATAACAAGGAACAGTAGAAGCTCAATTTTCGCACTGAAAATGAACAGGGCGTGGCATTACGGTATAGCGTATTTTATAACGCCACTAAATTTATTGTGTTAAGTTGAATAGAAGACGATACCCAAACTAAATATGAATAGCTTTGATCCTGACACAAGTTAAATAGTATATATATGTGTATAATTCGTCGCAATTTTCTTATTTTCAAACGGCATTCATGGCCAAAGAAGTGAGCTTACCTTATATTCTCCCGGTACCATGGGATGGTAAACAACGGAAAATGTTTTCAATTTATCATTGTTAGGAGTCGAGCGCAATTCCGTCTCGTGTCCTTCTGGATCAGTCAAATAAACCAATACAGCTCCGTTTCCTGCTCCTACAGTTTCTACTGTGAAAGGTGCGGGTGCACCAACTTTCAAACCATGGGGTTCCACACCTATAAAACAGAAGATGCAAATGAAATATGGCGTTTATTTATAAGGTAATTTGTTGTATTGCATTTCTTATATTTTCAACATAAACCCCACGGTTCACTTTTTGGTTTTCAGCGTTTTCAAACAGAAACGTTAAAACCCAATCGTCATTTGAATTGTCTCCACGCAAGTTATTATACCGACATTTGGAAATTTGTAGACTTTAATTGTACAATTGATAAACGATAACCAATTTTCCTCCTCTGGAACTCTACATTTCACGATATACTAACTAACCTTTTCCGTAAGCACGTGCACGTTTGGCATTCGTTCTTGGGCGCAATGGCGCACCGGGTTTTAGTTGTGCTTTGGGGAATTGAGACAAATATGTCATAACACTGTGTTCGTCCACATTCGGGTTGGTGATTTCTTCCGGTGCGATAACCTAGGATTTTCAAATAGAAAGATTTTTAAACGTTTCAAAAATATGTGGAATAGCGGGCAACAAAATCAAAGCTTAGAAGATTTTATGACAAACATAAAACCATTGCTTGGCCAGAAATGTTAGAAGAATAGTTAGGTTGTGAAATACAATAGTACTTTATCACACAAATTCCAGTTAACACACTTCATTTGAATATCATAACACAAAAATCAATCAGAAATAGAAAAATCACAAGCATTCTAATTCCATCTATAACATGCATAGCCGTGGAAATCTCCTGAGCTTAATCGGATTGAAGAGCAAAATTTGATTCATTGAAAAATTCGCCATTTCCACAATACAGTTTAGAGAACATCAATGGATTTGGTAGAGTCAAGAAAAACTTTCATGAAACTGTATTTGAGTAGTGGGAACTGATCCCTTTATTTGAGAACGAACACAATAGGTCTTGCGGTGGCGCTGGAACGTGGCGACGCAGTGGGTAAATATCATTTCAGCCACGGGACAACTTGCATCCGCCGAGACAATGAAATGACAATTTTTTCGGCTATAAATTAACCAGTGGGCATTTATATCTGAAATTTGACAATTTTACACGAGTTAACCAGCTAAACTTAATTCAACTCTCAAAAACAAAAACGAGCTAGTCCCAAATCGATATTAAACGACAAATATGGCGTCATTATTATTCAATACAGGTTAAGTTTCCCAGTTGAAATGTATTGACTAGTTGATCATGTTTTATGAACTGGAAATTTTGAAATGTCCTTAAATATCAAAGGTTCGAATAATACACCTAGATAGCTGATTTACTTCAACATCACAAGCTTGTTCGATCGTGATTTCCAAAACAACAAAATAAATATTTGCTAGAATAATTGAACGTGGGGCGATCATTTATTTGACGAGTTCAATTAAATAGATAACTTGTTTGCTAACTTGAAGTACTGTGCCGGGACAATTTGATTATGGCTGACTATCATTTGCGCGCCAAATTCCTCCGTTGTGTGAGAAAATGTTTTAATTAGAAAGGAAAATTTTGGATACATAACACATTTTGGCTTTAATTGGATTGAATTTGTTGATAAAGAATACCGATGTTTTATAAATACGACAGATAACGAAATACATTTGTAACATACATTTAAAATTCTGAGCGATTTGTGCACGTTAATGTTGGGCCTTATAAAAGTCACTCGAAGGGCAGAAATGTTTGTCGTCAAAGGCGAGGCCAATGACGCAAATTATAATGAATAAATACTATTATTTAAGGTCAAGAACAATGACGTAATATTTGCTGAATAATTTCGAATATAAATCATCCGTAAATCTGATCTAAAAGGGCAACGTTATAAACTTTATTTAAGTTCAGGGAAGACAGCCATTTAACAATATATCTAATGTCAACTCATTAAATTAATTTCGTAATGTGTAATTGACTGACAATGGCAATGATTTTAGGAATCCAGTCCATGACTTGTGAAATAATGGTGGCACAAAGTAAACCCAAGTGTAAGCTTTTTACTGCATAAAACGTTTTACATTTATTACATTATTTAGTAATGACTGGTCTATTTTCAGGTTCTTATACCCTGTGTCGAATGGTCGTTCAGGTCGAACAATAGGTAGGCAGAAAAAATTTCGAGCTCTCTACGCGTTAAGGACTCATCATGTTATATATATTCTGCCTGTAGATCACTCGTAAACAAAAATGTGGTAGAGAAGGTACAAATATGTATTCACATACAAAATATTTGTTTCAATTTCTACATACCGGGGGTACACCGAGCCAGTCATCGGCTAATTTTATCGCCTCTGTAGCGTTCTTTTCCGCCTCTTCCGGGACCCAATCTTCCCAATCAGGACAGAGGCCTACTCATTCATTGGTTCAAAGCAAGCAAGTGTTGAAGATCGATCAATGTGCAGGCAATATCAGCATTCAGCATGTTCACAATCATTGAATCAACATGTTGAAGAAGCATTTTGGTGAATGAGGTAGGTTTACATGCAAACAAAAATGGTAGAAAAATCACACAGTGATCTGGAAACCAGTTCCGTGGTTGAATATAAGCATGCATATCATATCATCAAAAGAACGCGATATTGACATTGCTAGATAAAAGTTTTTCGTGTCCAAATAATTAGGGTCGGGTAGTACGCGTGCCATCACTAGGACACATAATAGGCAAACTGTTCAATTGTTTTAGTCCGAAATTATCCAATGCGATAGAACATTTTTCTCGTTCAATAACAAATAACTATAGTCGGGTAGCAGGTCACTTGCCGTTTAGTGCTTTATAGACAAAAAACATACAAAAAATTTTGTATTGTTTCAATCCGAAATTATCTTTCAGAAATGCTTCAAATATAGCAATTCTCCGAGCAATAGCGGTCACATCTAAACGCTGCCAAGTTCTACAAAGCAAAAGCAGGATCTAATTTTAACGCAACTACAACACGTAACAGTAAAAGCGATAGCTGATCCATTAAATTATGGGATATTTAAAAATATTTTTCATTCGAATCTTTTGATCGAGGATTTATAAAAAAAATATCCTGACAGACTAAATTGGGCATAAACCATCAAATGCGCGTCTTCTAATATATGAAACAACATGCTTTTTGATTCAAGTATCTTTGACTGAATCTTTTTTCTAAAATCACTGACTCAATGCAAATTTAAACAATTCAAAATCTGCAGACACGCTCATTCCTGTTTCGATCTAAACATTGTTAAAACTGTTAAAAACGATTAAAATTTACTCAAATTGGAATACAATTAGATAAAACCGTTTTAATTCAAAACAGGAATGGATTGTTGTATCCACTGGTTCCTGATATAACTGTTCAATTGTTTTAGTCCGAAATTATCCAATGCGATAGAACATTTTTCTCGTTCAATAACAAATAACTATAGTCGGGTAGCAGGTCACTTGCCGTTTAGTGCTTTATAGACAAAAAACATACAAAAAATTTTGTATTGTTTCAATCCGAAATTATCTTTCAGAAATGCTTCAAATATAGCAATTCTCCGAGCAATAGCGGTCACATCTAAACGCTGCCAAGTTCTACAAAGCAAAAGCAGGATCTAATTTTAACGCAACTACAACACGTAACAGTAAAAGCGATAGCTGATCCATTAAATTATGGGATATTTAAAAATATTTTTCATTCGAATCTTTTGATCGAGGATTTATAAAAAAAATATCCTGACAGACTAAATTGGGCATAAACCATCAAATGCGCGTCTTCTAATATATGAAACAACATGCTTTTTGATTCAAGTATCTTTGACTGAATCTTTTTTCCAAAATCACTGACTCAATGCAAATTTAAACAATTCAAAATCTGCAGACACGCTCATTCCTGTTTCGATCTAAACATTGTTAAAACTGTTAAAAACGATTAAAATTTACTCAAATTGGAATACAATTAGATAAAACCGTTTTAATTTAAAACAGGAATGGATTGTTGTATCCACTGGTTCCTGATATAACATATAAAACGGTTTTAACTCCGATTGTACATTTAAAATTTGAGTAAATTCAATGTTTTAACAGTTTAAAACTTCCAATCAATCACGCAGTGAAAATGATGGGTGCTTCAGACAGTTTTCAGACCTGCGCTACACCTAGCCATTGGTCGGCTAGTCCCATGGCCTCCTGTGCATTTTGGAGCCTGTTTTCTGGAGTCCAGTCTTCCCAAGAGGGACACAATCCTGTTTTTATCAATTAGCATGGTAACAAACAATACATAGAACACAAAAATGATGAAAAAGAAAATGATAAAAATTGAACTGTGACAAGTACAATAACATAGGCTCGCTATTAAATACATTATATCAATCGGCCGTTTTCTCCAATATAAAAAAAAAGTAAAACCAACTACAAAACAGGCCAACAAAAAACTTGATATCGAATTATTAAACACGGCCTCCAGTGGTATACATAACAAATATCACCTTTGGAATAACAATGACCTACACCAATAACAAATAGGAGCCTACATTTCAAAGTAATGCTGCTGGAATTGGACCAGTTTCCTATATTAGCGGTTTAAGTTATTGCAGCTAACACATGAAGGAAAATTCGTAAGTGGACCAATGATATTGAAGACCCTATCCTGCCTGAATCGAAGAATACAACCCAGACAATTGAATATGTTCATAAATTGTAGCATAAAGTATGGACACGTACCTGGGGCACAATTGTCAACCAAAGCTCCAAGAGCACGGCCATCTTGCCAATCTTTGTTGAAATTGGTGATTGGCATTTGAGGGACTTTGTTTTGAATCCATCCCAAAAGTCTCTGCTTTGGAGTAGCTTTGGTTTTTTCGACCTGGCCTTCGTCCTCGTCCCACATCGGCATTGAAATGGAATAATGCAAAATAAGCGTCCATATCAATCCCAGTATAAGTTTCAAATTTCCGTCAACGATAGCTTTGCTGTCTGAAAAAAAAAAATAATGTTTTAGTTCAAGGCATTCGTCACCGCATCAGATTCGAAAATTTAGTGAATTCCAAAATAACAAAATGACAATAATATCATGAATGAAATGCTAATGAAGATATTGTATGCAAAAATACGACCAACTCTCAAGTCATATATATTTCAAAGATTTTACGACATTTCTTAAAAACCGCAACCGAGTTGAAGTTAAGTCGCTAAGTTGAAGTTATTTTTAATTGCAAATGGTTAAACCAATCAACTTAATCAACGATATTGATAAGCAATGATCAACTAAAAATTGATTACTAAATGGTAATTTAACAAATTGCCCAATTTCTGCAATCACCATTTTATTGAAGCTTTACAGAAAGACAGTCGACAGAGACGATGAATGTGCAGTCATCAAGCATGGCCAAGTTAAAACATGATGAGGTTACAATGAAATGTCACCGACAAAATTTAGGGGAAAGTATTCTTTACCAATATGCACATTTTGAGTATTCGGTTCAAATCGAGCCATGATGTAATCTTATGCCTGCATTGCAACGTGTATCTACTGTCCGTTTGTTGTCATTTCATATGACGTTATTTTTGTAGAAAGTTCAAAACTGAATTATTCCAGATTAAGAATGGAAAGGAAATAACACAAGTTTGATTTATAGCAACTTATATCTGACCAAAGAAGATGTGATGGCAATGTTTTCGCGAGGGCGTAAGCGTTAACTTCCGCATGCCTTCCAAATCGGAATACCACGCATTAAGCCCGGCCATGCACTGAAGAACCAGTGATGCAATAAATCAACCAATCCACAAATTAAAGAACTTTCGGTAATTTAATCTGCGACTATTTCTACCACACTTTTACATCGTACGCATCGATAATAGTAAATAAAAAAAGTATTCGACTTTAGAGCAAAAGTTAAAAACATCTCCTCGTGTGTCAATTCATGTATACTTTTATATGGATCAGTAGGCAAGAGTAAAAGGGTAAAGTTTGCATCAGCAAAGCCATAATACTCGACAAGGAAAAGTGAAAGCAAAACTTAAAAAATCCAACAAAACTGAATGTCAACATATATACAGAACGAGAAGCCGCAGTAAGATTAGCTCATTTTGTACAATACTACAATCGATATTCAAGCCATTGTCTACTCGATAGTTGTCACAATCGCCCTTAGCTTGATACTTAAACCCAAGCGGCTTATTATGGCTTTATGTTTATAAAAGCCGGTCTAAATGACATAGTATTAAACTGTAAAACATGACATTTAGATTAAAATATTATAATTGTTTTCAATGTCAGATATCAATTTTACGCATAATCATGTACAAATTACCAGTCTGCGTGAATTTATGCTCGAAAACAAAAATCTCATCCGTATGTTTACGTGCATATCAAGGTATTTTTTCTACTGTCGACGACAATTTAAAAGAATGATCTACAATGTATAGAAACTATGGAGGAAAACCATACAATGTGCGCGCAGCTTGATTCAGGTCTATAAACAATCACAAATCAACATTCTTGGAAGCGTAATTGACCACCAGCTGAGGATACCAATCTAATTTGGCTTTGCGTTGTAAAGAATGGCTGGGTTTTTATTCTCACAAACTCACGCATGGGCCGAAAATGAACGCACCTTCGTAGCCAATCGAGCGCTATAAATAGGCAATAAATGAAATTCCGTTAGTCAGACATTATTCACGATGTTTACGATTGCGTTCGTTTAAGAGTTCGTTTTAAGAGTTTCAGAATGAAATACAATTTTATGACATGATCAATGGGCTGAGGTGATGCATTATACTTTATTACGCACGGCGCAAGACGTGAGCAATGCCAATGTGTCTTCGAGCGAAGAAAACTTATAAAACAGACGACAAACGAATTAATGATCTTGTATGCATTGTCGCCATTAAATGGAGCTTATACGAAAATTTCAATTACAACAATAACAGCGAGAACCAGTATTAAAATAAGATAGGCTTCATATCACATGGATTTCAAGCGCAAAAACGAGCGTGCAGAGCGTTGTCATATTGTTTACCAGCATTTAAATACTGCACTTATATGTTTTTATAGAATCTAAGCATACTTAAAAATGATTTGCTCAGTACTTTTCAACGGTAGGTGTATCATTGGCCAAACCAGTCTCATTTTATTCCCCTCTGTTAGCGGTAATGTATCGGTATTTCTATGGCTAGAATGATTGAACGAGTGCGCATGCCGCTAATAATAAATTGTGACCGGCGCCTCCGGCTATGAACTTCAACGCCCAAATTTGTAACCTGACGTGATTTTTTTAACAAAATAAAGTACGAATAATGTTCGCATTCAGAGCCCCAGTGATTTTTAAATGCCGCCCAACCTGAGCCAAACATACGCTACGCTGACAATATTGATGTGGTCCCATCGTTTGCATAAAACTTGGCAGTCGTTTCCTAGTAGTGTTGACTTGCATTCTGAGTGAAATACGTGTTGTTTTGTAAATTTTATATCAGAGATGTGTAAAGGCCTTCTCGCCTAACAGACTAGTGACAAATCATTTCCGCAAGGCCTTAGTTCAATTGGTTTAATTGTTGTTTCTGTTATGGTGAGCGTTAACAGACGCAATGAAGCATTACGTTTGCTATATTTTCATTGCATGGGACGCAAAATTATTTGAGACTCCCCGGCAGCCCAGTTACACAATCATACAGGTTTTGGGAATACTCGGTGAGGCGCAAATACAGCACCACGCCAGAACATGGTGCGAAGTATTATAATACTGTTATAGAAATGCTACTCATTTTTTTATTACTGTAATACGGCTTTTTGAGTCGTTAAAATGTTTAAAAAAATTGCTTACCAATGCTAACAAGCTTGATTCTCTCTCTTTCCAAAAATTTCAACGCCACGGAAACGTTTTCCAGCTTCATTTGCCTGAAATTAGGCCTCTTGTTGTACTTATCCATTCTTTTCTGGGATAGTACTTCCAGGAGGCTAATCAGCCTCAAACCATCGGATAAATCCGTCTCCAAGCTTCCCAAACGCTTGTTGACACATTTCAGATGCTCGTTACACCACCTGGTAAAAGTATTCTTCTGGATTTGCTTCCAAGGAGCATCTTCCGCCAGTTCCCTTTCGGTAGCCGGCATCTCTTCGTCGTCGTAGAACTCTCCGCCTGAACTGACTTCACCAATGCTATTCATCGCGCCTTTTGTTAGCTATATATATAAACGAAAAAATCTACGGTTCAGTGCACAATCAATGGTTTTATAGCGTTTGATTGCGTGTGCTTGCACGAGTTGAGTGAATTCCGCTAAAATTCGAGTGGAGTCGCGAACAAGTCGTTTCTTTGCTTTAGTTCAGATCAAATAAATATCGAAGGCTTGTCGTCTCTGTTTTCCAGTTGTTGAGATGATATGTCAGTTATAACAACAATCTAGCTAACTTATACATTCCTATAAAATATGAAAATGTTGGGTTTAGAAGCATTTTATATAGCGTTTAGTCGCTTGGGCGGAAATGAATACGTTTCTTGCTATCACTTCACACGTAATTGGAATGACCTTCAGGTCGTTACGAAGCATCTGAAAGTGCTTTTCAATTATATATTTGCAATTTCTCATCCCCCGTCAGTGTATACTATACACGAGAAATATTCGGCAGGGTATAAAAGTAAATAAAAATTTCTTTTCTGCACTTTTTATCACAATATTATAAATTTGAATCACGAAGATCGATGAAATAGATTGTCGTTAGAAGTTTTGAGGGATATGATTATTATTTTAGGTCAATTTGGGAAAAGTGAGCTAGGTAATCCACTCAATTGTATTCGTAAATTCATCTTCGTGTATAGATATAAAATTATATTTCAGAATTTTTATTAAAATAATTCGAAATGCGATGATAAAACAGTTATGGGCAAATTGCCTAGCAAAACAATGACGTCATCTGATATGACGTCTACAAACGTAAACGCCCTCCACCGCCAACAAGCACAAAACAAAATTTTGAATGTTCTACTGTCCTCCGCCCCTTTTTGGATTAACTTGAATTAGCCCACCAGACCAACGTGACCAGACTAGGGACACGTGCGCTTGCCTAATTTTAAACGGAACGTGAAAACTGGAGTTGTGAAATTGCATTTTGTTTTCGCACTTCTTATCACCTTTCCTATAGGAAACAGTCAACATGACTTTGACTAAAAGCGATACCAGTTATTAAGAGCTCACACACAATAAACATAAAAATATTACTAGAAAGCTAGTGAATATATGCCGCCTGAGAAAAACAAATGAAGATATTTGTATATTAGCGATGTCGAATAGCATCAAGTTCATCGAGATATAACATCGAAGGTTTAGCATCAATAGCGATATCGAAAGTATAGCATCAAGTTCCTTTCCCCGCTGGGCAATATCATATTTTATGTTCATTTTTCTCGTCGAGATGAATTTAATACTTGAACAAAAATTCGTTGGATTTTTATCAAATACAATATCATGATAATTTATTTGAACAACAGAACTATAACTTATTTGAATCTACTTTGATTAACCGAACTTTCCTTAAGTATACTTAAACAGCACATAGCCAATGCAATAGTCCAAGTTCCTAACCTATACACAGGCGACACAAAGCTCTTGCACATGGTTGGCTACACCTCAAAATAACATATTTCAAATCATGCATCTTAGTAATAAATACTCCCCGTAAAGGTATTATGTCTCGCCCATGCTTCCAGGGATGCCAGAAACGGGCGGTTCTGCATCGGCGGATATCTCCATGTTCACTTACGTAGAAATATTGGGATGTGGTCATTGCCATATAAGATCATAATGCGTAGACTGTTCTAGAAAAAGATACTCCTTCATTCAGGCAGACAGCTACAAATTAGATTATCGTTTTCAGTTTATTTCTGAGCCTTGAAGAAATAATCACTTAATATTCATTAACGAGCCTTACATCATACATTAAGCAGATCATACATTTCTAGAAGTCATATTTGTAGACCAATCCTTCAAAATCGGAAAAATAATGTATTTCCTAATATTAAAACAAGTAAAATTTAAATTCATTTAATGATGAGAATTAAATTAAACTAAGTAATCTCTCTCATTTGTAAAGGGTAGATTAAGTCAAGTTTGTAATATACCCACGACAAACGATTAATATACGTCGATTAAAATTGATATTCGATGGGGCAAATTAGAATCTGCATTTATAAATAGAAATCATAAATGTGAATGGGTTAAGTGGATGCTATTTTGCTTTTCCATAGTATTTCAACATCTGTAGTCTTTCTATGTTGTTTAAGAAATATCTTTCTAAAAGAAGATTACTTCAATCTACTATCGTCAATATGAGAATTAAGCAGAGCGTGATTGTAAAATCTATTTAGAATCCACAGATTCAAATTTGTCCAAACCTATTAAACATATGTACTTTTGTAGTTATAAAATTCTTCTCTTTGACTTAGAAATCATATTTCAAAAGTAATTCAATAATAAATGATTGTATAGACTCGACATATATATATCACGTTATTCATCAATAAGCCAATTGGAAATAAGTATTTTATGTACATTATGGGCACACTTTTTTATCCAGTAATCGGAAAATGTGATCAACATTATCGTCGATTTTATATTCAATTAATTACAGAATTTAAGATAGAATCACGCTATAGTACATTACAAAATTCTCAGTGTTTTCGCCACTTCAAAATAATCATTGGACTAGTTTTAGCACTGAACAATTGTTTCCACTTCCACTCAAGAGCGTTAGCTGACAAATCACAATGGCTGAAACTGTTCAATTGCAATATAATCAATCGAAGAAAAAAAGCTGGGCCAGCCGGATCGCTCTCCGGTAAAATCTACACGACGTCATTGGTGCTTTTAATAGGATGTGGTGTTTTTTCGCACCTTCAGAATGTACAATTTGTAATCGTAGAGTTTTAAATTCCAGAGTATAATGTATTCTACCGGCGGAATCTTATCAGGGATTAATTCTGCGATGTTATTTGCGTCATCATATCCCACTACGGACGCATTTAGCGAAGGCGTGAGCGCGGCGCATGTGCTGAGAAATCCCTAAAGACCATAGAAACTTTGCGAAAGAACGTATAGTAAATATAATTTCAGTATTATTATGTTTCAAGATATAGGACCTTGTTTATACACTGATCTTTCTCATAATGTTTCAAACCGGATGCGAGTGTAATAGCGAAGACAAGTCAACTAAAATACCTGCTGATGAGTAGCGTATCAAAACTAATATTTCGAGACGTACACGTGTAAAAATACAAATTATGTTATACACTGAGCAAAAAATGGATAAAAGTGAATAATATACAAAAAAAAAATAGCATGAACAACGGGACATCAAAAATTGCTTGCCATTGCAGACAATTTTGCTATGTGCGGCGGAGAAAAAACTTATCAAATTTTATATAAATCCGTCTCTTTTCATGCAAACATAGATTGAACATTCGAGATCATTCAAAATTAGTTCGGTCTGTATATAGCTTTTTTTTGGTTTTAGAATGAATAGTGTATATATGGTTCCATTACATTTGAACCCACATACATTTGAATTCACGACAATTGCACCTGCATACTATTGCACCTATGGAATTTTTTGTTTTTGTTTTACGAATATTTGAACCCATACTAACACTAACCCATGGGTTTTCGCATCCGCATATAGATTGGACCCGCGGATATACACATGGGTTCAAATGTACGTGGGTTCAAATGTACGGTCACCGTATATATATATATTATATATTTATTTGGAAAAATTGTCATGCTAAGAATTTGCAACATTACATATTAAAGAAATGAGCTCCATTCAAATCTGATCGGGCTGAATATATATCCGTGACTCAAAAGATTGCCTGCAGAATATTATGTTATTTGGTTTTCACAAATTACTGGCAGTAAAACAAATAATTTAAAAAAGAATATTAACGACATACTTGAACTATTAATTGTCAATTAGAGCTGATGGATAACAGTGATCAGAAATGCATAACTAAATAATTACCCCAACAGCGAGCAATACCAACTACCGATTGTGATTAATGAACGTAAAACAAATGCGATTTAATTAAGCGGAATTCACAAGTCTCTGTGGGGTAGAATTTAATTAGGAAAAACATTGACAGAAAAGAGTTCATATTAGTTCACAGAGATTTCAAACGTCCAAGTAGGCCGCGATGTACATCGATAGCGTTCTTCATGTTATCTAAGACGGAAGCAAGAATGGGCCTCGCCTATTCATACATAGCCCTATCTATAGGGTCATACTGCACTAATAAATTGATTTTCCATGATTTCATAGTGAGAAATACTGTTAATTTGTAACTCAACGACCATAATAGGAAGCTGAGTATTTTCATCAAACAGTTACTTCCGAACAATTAAATTTATTCGGCTCAACTATTTAATTATGCGTTAAGCTCATAAAAACTGCCTCTCACATTCTAATTATTATGGTAATGTAAAGTAAACTCTCGTATAAACTGTAAATTAACTGTATACATCACAATAAACGAACTCTGAAATAACGTGAATCTTGAACGCTTGGCAGATCAATACTTTAAACATAAAGAGATTACCCTAACGACCGATTTTTAGGGGCCTCTTACTGGAAATAGCACAAACATTTATTGCCGATATATAAAGAAAAACGAATGAGCGAGGCGAAGAATAGCTTCAAGTTTTCTTGCACTGTTTCAAAACTTCTGACTCGAATCTTGCTAAGCGAAATATTGTGCATCTTCGCCAGATATCTTCATAGCTCTATTTGTTATCACACAGTCATTACCAATGAGGCTATTACCGACTGTTGACTGTTTCTCCAATGATGCAAGCTTCCAAAATAAAAATATGTCAAAATCCCGATGGTGACGGTTGATAATTGAAATCCCTACGGGCTTTTATATTCCACAATCTATAGACACTGAGGCAATAGGCAACAATGCTACGTACGATTGGCCGAATCACTCTTGTACGCGACCGATTATATCAGCCTACAGCTGTTCTGACGAAGAACGTAGAACTCCTAACTCAGAGTACGAAACAGCTGTACACTCGTGAAACGTAAGATAGGGAGACATTTCAAGGACTTCTGCGGAACATCAACACAGATTTCCCTCGTACCTTCCAGAACTTAACATTTGTTCGATCTTGTTACTTTTGCAACGTATTATATGATAAGGAGATTCGGTTCGCGCTTGGGCCACAAATAAATTTTAACTTTTCGTGAGTAAATTCATTTTACTCTTATCCCAGTTGTTCGCAGCTTCATGGAATATAGCAAAATATTTTATTAGTAAGAATGAAATTCCCCCCTATGTTATTGCGCGGACATTACCCTCAGTGATAATGAGGAATGGCATCTCATCAAAGGTGGCTTTTGCTTTTAAGACATAATTAAATTTAATTAGAAAAA